CACACCCACTGCTACATCCACTACCACACCCACTGCTACATCCACTGCCACACCCACTGCTACATCCACTACCACACCCACTGCTACACCCACTACCACACCCACTACCACACCCACTGCCACACCCACTGCTACACCCCACTGCTACACCCACTGCCACACCCACTGCTACATCCACTGCCACACCCACTGCTACACCCACTGCTACACCCACTGCCACACCCACTGCCACACCCACTGCTACACCCACTGCTACACCCACTGCTACATCCACTGCTACACCCACTGCTACACCCACTACCACACCCACTGCTACACCCACTGCCACACCCACTGCTACATCCACTGCCACACCCACTGCTACACCCACTACCACACCCACTGCTACACCCACTACCACACCCACTGCTACACCCACTGCTACACCCACTACTACACCACTACCACACCCACTGCTACACCCACTGCTACATCCACTGCTACACCCACTACCACACCCACTGCCACACCCACTGCTACACCCACTACCACACCCACTGCTACATCCACTGCTACACCCACTGCTACATCCACTGCTACACCCACTGCTACATCCACTGCTACACCCACTGCTACACCCACTACCACACCCACTGCTACATCCACTACCACACCCACTGCTACATCCACTACCACACCCACTGCTACACCCACTGCTACATCCACTACCACACCCACTGCTACACCCACTGCTACACCCACTGCTACATCCACTGCCACACCCACTGCTACACCCACTGCTACATCCACTACCACACCCACTGCTACACCCACTGCTACACCCACTGCTACATCCACTGCTACACCCACTACCACACCCACTGCTACACCCACTACCACACCCACTGCTACACCCACTGCTACACCCACTGCTACACCCACTGCTACATCCACTGCTACACCCACTGCTACACCCACTGCTACACCCACTGCTACACCCACTGCTACATCCACTACCACACCCACTGCTACACCCACTGCTACATCCACTGCTACACCCACTACCACACCCACTGCTACACCCACTACCACACCCACTGCTACACCCACTGCTACACCCACTGCTACACCCACTGCTACATCCACTGCTACACCCACTGCTACATCCACTACCACACCCACTGCTACATCCACTGCTACACCCACTGCTACACCCACTGCTACATCCACTACCACACCCACTGCTACATCCACTGCCACACCCACTGCTACACCCACTGCTACATCCACTACCACACCCACTGCTACACCCACTACCACACCCACTGCTACACCCACTGCTACATCCACTGCTACACCCACTACCACACCCACTGCTACACCCACTGCTACATCCACTACCACACCCACTGCTACACCCACTGCTACACCCACTGCTACATCCACTACCACACCCACTGCTACATCCACTACCACCCACTGCTACACCCACTGCTACATCCACTGCCACACCCACTGCTACACCCACTGCTACATCCACTACCACACCCACTGCTACACCCACTACCACACCCACTGCTACACCCACTGCTACATCCACTACCACACCCACTGCTACATCCACTACCACACCCACTGCTACACCCACTGCTACATCCACTGCCACACCCACTGCTACACCCACTGCTACATCCACTGCTACACCCACTGCTACACCCACTGCTACATCCACTACCACACCCACTGCTACACCCACTGCTACATCCACTGCCACACCCACTGCTACACCCACTGCTACATCCACTACCACACCCACTGCTACATCCACTACCACACCCACTGCTACACCCACTACCACACCCACTGCTACACCCACTGCTACACCCACTGCTACATCCACTGCTACACCCACTACCACACCCACTGCTACACCCACTACCACACCCACTGCTACATCCACTACCACACCCACTGCTACACCCACTACCACACCCACTGCTACACCCACTGCTACATCCACTACCACACCCACTGCTACACCCACTACCACACCCACTACCACACCCACTGCTACACCCACTACCACACCCACTGCCACACCCACTGCTACACCCACTGCTACATCCACTGCTACACCCACTGCCACACCCACTGCTACATCCACTGCCACACCCACTGCTACACCCACTACCACACCCACTGCCACACCCACTGCTACACCCACTGCTACATCCACTGCTACACCCACTACCACACCCACTGCTACACCCACTGCTACACCCACTGCCACACCCACTGCTACACCCACTGCTACACCCACTACCACACCCACTGCTACATCCACTACCACACCCACTGCTACACCCACTACCACACCCACTGCTACACCCACTGCTACACCCACTGCTACATCCACTACCACACCCACTGCTACACCCACTACCACACCCACTGCTACACCCACTGCTACATCCACTGCTACATCCACTGCCACACCCACTGCTACACCCACTACCACACCCACTGCCACACCCACTGCCACACCCACTGCTACATCCACTGCTACACCCACTGCTACACCCACTGCTACATCCACTACCACACCCACTGCTACACCCACTACCACACCCACTGCTACACCCACTGCTACACCCACTGCCACACCCACTGCTACATCCACTGCTACACCCACTGCTACACCCACTACCACACCCACTGCTACACCCACTGCTACACCCACTGCTACATCCACTACCACACCCACTGCTACACCCACTACCACACCCACTGCTACACCCACTGCTACATCCACTGCTACATCCACTGCTACACCCACTGCTACACCCACTACCACACCCACTACCACACCCACTGCTACACCCACTGCTACATCCACTGCTACATCCACTGCTACACCCACTGCTACACCCACTACCACACCCACTGCTACACCCACTGCTACACCCACTACCACACCCACTGCTACACCCACTGCCACACCCACTGCTACACCCACTGCTACACCCACTACCACACCCACTGCTACACCCACTGCCACACCCACTGCTACACCCACTGCTACACCCACTACCACACCCACTGCTACACCCACTACCACACCCACTGCTACACCCACTGCTACACCCACTACCACACCCACTGCCACACCCACTGCTACACCCACTGCTACATCCACTGCTACACCCACTGCTACATCCACTGCTACACCCACTACCACACCCACTGCTACATCCACTGCTACACCCACTGCTACACCCACTGCTACACCCACTACCACACCCACTGCCACACCCACTGCTACACCCACTGCTACACCCACTACCACACCCACTGCTACACCCACTACCACACCCACTGCCACACCCACTGCTACACCCACTACCACACCCACTGCTACATCCACTGCTACACCCACTGCTACACCCACTGCTACACCCACTACCACACCCACTGCCACACCCACTGCTACACCCACTGCTACACCACTACCACACCCACTGCTACACCCACTACCACACCCACTGCTACACCCACTGCTACACCCACTGCTACATCCACTACCACACCCACTGCTACATCCACTACCACACCCACTGCTACATCCACTGCCACACCCACTGCTACATCCACTACCACACCCACTGCTACACCCACTACCACACCCACTACCACACCCACTGCCACACCCACTGCTACACCCACTGCTACACCCACTGCCACACCCACTGCTACATCCACTGCCACACCCACTGCTACACCCACTGCTACACCCACTACCACACCCACTGCCACACCCACTGCTACACCCACTGCTACACCCACTGCTACATCCACTGCTACACCCACTGCTACACCCACTACCACACCCACTGCTACACCCACTGCCACACCCACTGCTACATCCACTGCCACACCCACTGCTACACCCACTACCACACCCACTGCTACACCCACTACCACACCCACTGCTACACCCACTGCTACACCCACTACCACACCCACTGCTACACCCACTGCTACATCCACTGCTACACCCACTACCACACCCACTGCCACACCCACTGCTACACCCACTACCACACCCACTGCTACATCCACTGCTACACCCACTGCTACACCCACTGCCACACCCACTGCTACACCCACTGCTACACCCACTACCACACCCACTGCTACACCCACTACCACACCCACTGCCACACCCACTGCTACACCCACTGCTACACCCACTACCACACCCACTGCTACATCCACTGCTACACCCACTGCTACACCCACTGCTACACCCACTACCACACCCACTGCCACACCCACTGCTACACCCACTGCTACACCCACTACACACCCACTGCTACACCCACTACCACACCCACTGCTACACCCACTGCTACACCCACTGCTACATCCACTACCACACCCACTGCTACATCCACTACCACACCCACTGCTACATCCACTGCCACACCCACTGCTACACCCACTGCTACATCCACTACCACACCCACTGCTACACCCACTACCACACCCACTGCTACACCCACTGCTACATCCACTACCACACCCACTGCTACACCCACTACCACACCCACTGCTACACCCACTGCTACACCCACTGCTACACCCACTGCTACATCCACTGCTACACCCACTGCTACACCCACTACCACACCCACTGCTACACCCACTGCTACACCCACTGCTACATCCACTGCTACACCCACTACCACACCCACTGCCACACCCACTGCTACACCCACTGCTACATCCACTGCTACACCCACTACCACACCCACTGCCACACCCACTGCTACACCCACTACCACACCCACTGCTACACCCACTGCTACATCCACTGCTACACCCACTACCACACCCACTGCCACACCCACTGCCACACCCACTGCTACACCCACTACCACACCCACTGCTACACCCACTGCTACATCCACTGCTACACCCACTACCACACCCACTACCACACCCACTGCTACACCCACTGCTACACCCACTACCACACCCACTGCTACACCCACTGCTACACCCACTACCACACCCACTGCCACACCCACTGCTACACCCACTACCACACCCACTGCTACACCCACTGCTACATCCACTGCTACACCCACTGCCACACCCACTGCCACACCCACTGCTACACCCACTGCTACACCCACTGCTACACCCACTACCACACCCACTGCTACACCCACTGCCACACCCACTGCCACACCCACTGCTACACCCACTGCTACACTGACAATAACTGCTGGTCTGCTTCACGAAGAAACTTGGACCTGCTGCCCCAAAATACAACCAAGACCAATGGGATCCAAACCAACACACCAACCCCTCTGAACACACTGATGAGCATTAGTTTGAGCAGCGCATACTTGAGTTTGATTGACAGCAGTAAGTCCCTCCTCCTAGCTCTGATCGGTCATTTCTTACCTAGCGATGTATTTGTGTAAAGATAGCTGGATCATTTTCAGACTATCTGGCGCCACCTGGCGGCAGTTTCACCAAATATGGAAAAAACTTTTTCATGACTGTTCGGTACTGCAGCTTTAAGGCAGAACTAAACGATCAGGTGATCATAGACGGAGGAGTTGGAATTCCCAACCTGCACCTGAATGCACCGCCCTCCCCAGCCTGCTCTCTCTCTCCTCGCTCCGCTCTTTATTCTCCCTGGTACCGACCCGACCCAGACCAGACCGATCCCAGGTGTGGACCGTACCAGATGCTGGCCGGCATTCCTCCTGCTGCTGCTAATGATGATGATGATGATGATGGGAGCCCTGATCTTCTGCTGTGTCTCCCAGGTAACCATTCCTTACTGGGTTAACTGGGAATGATGGTCAGACAGACAGGAAAGATCACATTACTTTAGTTTCACTCAGTAAAACCTGCAGCAGCCTGACAGGACGGCCTGAGGGCATTCAGCTCGCCACAGACCGGTTCTGGACCCAAAATTCAACTCATGTCTTTCCATCTACAGGTCAGCAGGGGGGCGTGTCCACATGTTGCCATGGAAACAGCATACAGGTGTGATTCTTAATTCCTGTTGCCGCCTCCTCCTCTTCCTCCTCCTCTTCCTCCCAAAGAGCCCAAAGGTAAGCGGTTCCTCTCTGAATTCCCCTGTTTGGTTCTGATTCGGTTCTGACTGGTACTGGTACCGGGTCTATAGATCAGAAAACCAACCGGACACCATCAGAGCCTGTGTGACCTTTGACCTCAACAGTATTTCTAGTCCGAGTGTGGGAGCTCCTGACTGCGGAAGGCTTTTATTTTGATAATCTGACAAAATCCCTCAAGCTTAATCCTGACTCTTCCTCCTCATCTTCCTCTTCCTTGTCTCTGTGCTGCAGTTTGCGTTCCGGACGCTCCGGACGCCCCGGACGTTCCGGACGTTCCGGACGCTCCGGACGCTCCGGACGCTCCGGACGTTCCGGACGCTCCGGACGCTCCGGACGTTCCGGACGTTCCGGACGTTCCGGACCCCGGACGTTCCGGACGCTCCGGACGCTCCGGACGTTCCGGACGCCCCGGACGTTCTGGACGTTCTGGACGTTCCGGACGCTCCGGACGCTCCGGACGTTCCGGACGCTCCGGACGTTCCGGACGCTCCAGATGCTCACCTTGAATTCCCAGGGCTCATCTTCATGCTGGTCTCGTTGTCATCGCTGGTGCTCCTGACGATGCTGAGCCGACGCGCCTGCAGGTGGGATTCAGCAGATCAATAGAAACCGGTTTGGCTCTGGTTCTGACCCACAACTTAGGAGCTAATATTAATGTCTACATGTTAATGAGCGTTTATAAATGAATATTTTCTGACTCTGGTGTCGAAGTGACTGCAGACTCATCGGCGCCATGCCAACGCTGGCTGATGCTGCGCCGCTTTGATTAGTTTGACAGTTTCTCTGGTTCTGACATCATCAGAACCAGAGGAATCGGACCGCCAGCCGGGTTTCAGCGGACGGAGAAATTTGAAACGTTTCCAGTTTGGAGGAGAAATGTTCAGAAATCATTTCTCCATCTTAAGACCAATAAAATGTTTCCCAACTAAAGCCGACCCGGGACCGTTGGTGCGGTTCGGTCCGGTTCAGCCCAAAGCTTCACGTTTATTATGTAATCAAAAATAAATCACCTTTCACTGAATTCTGGCCCGAAAATGAAAATGTGGATCTGCTAAAGTTCTGAAAGCTCCTGTCTACTTCAGAACCAGAACCAGACAGAACGGGCCGAACCAGGGAGGAAGCAACCCGCAGGAACCGACATCAGCCCGGCTCTAACCGGACCGTCTCCATGGTAATCAGAGGACCAACCGAGCTGTACATGTCCAACCAGAACCAGAACCAGGACTGGATCCTCATGCAGCTGGGAGGCTTAAAGTTCTTAAAATCATATTTATACAAACTGAACAAGGATTTGACCAGAAAATTAAACATCAATGAACTAAAACCGTTTTTGAGGTTCTGTTTGGTTCTGATCCAGCAGCAGCTTTACGGGTCAGGAAGCAAAGCAGTTTGTTTCTGTGTGTGTGTACCAAGCTTTCATGTCCTTGTGGGGACATTTCTTGGTCCCCATGATGGGAAATAGTGTTTTGGGTCGGGGGTCGGGGGTCGGGCTCAGATGTTCAGGATTTCTGGTTAGACTGTAGAAATGAATGGAAGTTCCCACAAACGTAGGAAAACAGGGCTGTGTGTGTGGGACGGTGAGGTTTCGTCTCACTCGTTTATTTGCCTCAGGCCTCATTTCCTGCACCGGGTGATGAAGACGATGAGGAGGACTTCCTGTGTCCGTTGGAGCCCGTGATGTTAAAACAGGAAGTGATTAACTAAGTAAATCCAGCAGATGGAAGAAAACAAACAGAATCATGGGAGAGGACAGAGAGGCATCCGACGGAAAAATAACACCCAAATCACAGGACGCTTTTATTTTGAAAAGACGACAGGTGAGTTTCGCAAGGAAAAATTAACTTCTGATGATGACATGACAAACTTTACAATGGATAAACTATCATGAACACTTGAATTTTCTTAAATGCTGGTTTTTCAGAATAAAAGCCTGGCTGGTTTCAGGACACATTAATTCCAGATCAAATTGTTTCACACTAAGAACAGGAAGAGGAGAAAGAGGAAGGTCAGGTCCGCGGGCCTTGCTGGGCCCGCTCCCGGTATGTTGGCAGGTGGTAGAGGATCCAGGCTGCTGGGGCCAACATGGCCGCCGCGAACACAGACATGACGAAAAAACTTTGCTGTCAGGAAGAGAAGAGAGAAAATGTCAACCAGACGGAACCAAACGGGTTTTAAGAACCTCCAGAACCATCAAGGTCAGGAACATTCTAAAGCACTATACCAACACAGTATTGACTGGAAGCTAATGCTAAAATGCTAAATACAATATGGTTTTGACTTGAAGCTAATGCTAAAGCACTGTACCACAGATGTTAAATTCACTTAACAGAAAATTTACAAAATAGCCACATAATTCGGCACTTAGCTAAACTTATTTAGTGAAGTGCACTAAACATTTTCAATTATGAAAAATGCTAAAGCACTGAACAAAAAATTAGCTTCACTCTTAGGGAATTGCTGGTGTGTACAGAAGCTTATTACTGTCATAAAACGTGATAAAGTTCATGCATCCAGAAGGTGGCGGTAGTGGGCTGTTAGTGCATGCATAACAGGTGTTAGTCAAGTTTACCTTCATGCCTGATCTAAAACATGGAGAGATACTGATGCTGCTGGGTGTTGGGTATGAAATCATTAATAGTGTGAAATCATTAATAGTGTGTGGGTGTAACGAGTTAATGTTACTCTATGTTAAACTTCGAACTCCATCAAATCCATCGAACTCCATCCATTACAAATTAATTAGTTATTTCTTCTGATTAGTACCTGTTTGATGTGAGCAGTTAGTTTTTCCTATTGCCCTTGAATGCACCTCATGCAGTAGCCACCTGGCTTGATGCCTGCGGAGGTTAAATGCTGCGCTGGGCTAGCAGGAGGGAGGTGTTTGGACCAGGCTGTGCAGACTGTTCACTGCTGCCTCTGTTTATACCTCAGACATACAAAATAAAAGACAGTTGACCCAAATCTGGTTCCTGATCTACACCGATAGAAACACACAATGCAGAGTGAAAGCTTGGGCCGGATCCTCGAGATGTGGCGGCCAACGGAGCAGCTGGAGAACCATCAGTTTCACCACCTTAGACATATTTACCATGGATCAAAAGTCAACCCGAGACGCTGCTGCCCGCCTGATGACTAAAACACAGAACGTCATGAGGGTCGACTGTAAATCCTGCTGCTGGTTCTGGTTCCAGTTCATCCATCACCAAACATGGAGAAGCAGGATTCAGCTTCTATACACCACGAATCTGGAACAAACTTCCAGAAAACTGAAAATGAGCTGAAACCCTGACTTCCTCTAGATCTAGTAGAAGCTGGTTTAGCCGATGGAGGGAACCCAGCTGTTGGCTCGATCCGTTCATAAAACTCCCTCATTCTGCAATTTATTTATTGTTTCATCATGTGAAGTTTGTTGAAGCGACCTGCTGCTGAAATGTTCTGTATGAATGAACCGGACTGGACCGGACCGGACCGGACCGGACCGGAGCAGACTGACTCTGGGACAGGTCAGTGTTGCACCTGGATCTGGAGCAAATGTTCTGGTTTGTCTTTGTGGTTCTGGGTTAAATCAGTCTAACCTCTGACCCTAGACCAACTGATCGGAGGTCTGGATCAGCCTTCAGTTATTGATCAGCTTTAGCAGCTCCACTCAGTTTCTGAGTTATGAGTTACTGACCAGTCAGTCAGTGGGTTAGTTAGTAGTTAGTTAGTAGTTACTCACAGCAGCTCCGACCCGGTGTCGAGGAGGTTTGCCGTAGATCGTCCTCTTCGTCTCCTTCAGGACTTCTTTTGGACGAGTCAAACTTGAAGACTTGTCCAGCATCCTCAAGACAGAGCCCAGCATCGTCATGACGACCCTCACCTGATCACACCTGGTGCTGATTGGCCACTGCGGAGCCGTTTGGTCGGTGTGAGCAGCTGGACACTTGGAGTCAGACTGAGGGCTGGAGGCAGAGGAGGGAAGAGGAGGAAGAGGAGGAGGATCCAGCTGGGAGCCGATTGGCCGGCCGGTGGGTCCCGGGTCGGTTCTGGTCGGTGATAACGGGAACCAGAGCAGCGGCTCTGATTGGATCTCCTGCAGAACAAAGAGCCCTGATGAGTTGCAGAGCCGCAGGTGGAGCGCTGCTCTTCGTCACAGACGGACGGATGACAGGAAGTCTGTTAGGGTTAACACCTGTTAAACATACATTAACAAAGACAGAAAAGACAAAAGAGTTAGATTCTTTTTCACTCGCGAGGAGAACGGACAGAGATGTGCTTCAGTTACAATCTCCTACCGCTCTGAAGCACATTTTGTCTGCTCCTCTATTTTATTGTTTCTAGGATCCCTAATCACAAGGACACTGTAGCTCTAAAGGGAGGGGGCAAACAGCTACAGCGTCAAATGTTATTCACTAACTAACACACAATCATTCTGTACTAGATAATGTCCTTCCAGGCACAAAGATTAATAAAATATGTAGTGATCTTAGCAATGATGGTTTTATTGGAGGCCAGCAACTCAACCGAAGCAGAGCTCTTCACCAAGAGGTAAACCTGCAGGAAGATTTTGTTTCTGCTCTCTGTCAGTGAGGCCTTCTGAGAAAAGAATCAGAGTAAATCAACAATACAAGAAACATTCTTAATTCTATAATGAGATTAACTTAAAGGAAAGCATCAATTAAAGATACATTATAAAGATCAATGAGAATAACAAATAATTGATTAATAATATCACAATTTCTCCAACATTTCCCCCTGTTTATCAAATATTTGTTCTAATTCTCATATCTCTCCTAAACAGCCACTTCAAACAATTTTCAACTAGGAGTTCATTTTTTAAGAAAGCAAACATGTTTACATTCAAGGTTTATACTCAGTCCAAAACTTAGAATCAGGAAACACATCAAAAGAGTCCTCATCAGAGCTTTCTCTGTCAGACTCAGGTTCTCTCGCCAATAAGGGATACATCGGCGTCATCTGGTTCCCATGGGCTAAATTGCTGTAGTGATGAGACTATTAAACAAAGAACGCAGGCAAGGAATACAACAGCATCCACACAAGGTTAGAATGGCAGCAAAGACAGCCATCGACACTAAAACAGAGGACACAAGGGTTCGGTTCTTTCCAAAAACATTCATCCAGTCGTCCCACCTGAAAGTATTCACTCCAGAGAACTCCTTCAGCTTACCATTAAGGGTACGGAGCCCCTCAATGGCCTTCGTCAGGCTGCCATCAGCCGCTGTGTTGTTGGGTAGAAAAGTGCAGCATCCTTCACCAAAGATTGCACACACTCCCCCTCGTTCAGCCAGCACCATGTCAAGTGCAATGCGGTTCTGGAAAGCCATCAGTGATGTAGCGGCCAGCTGCTCATGCACCGCCTCGAAGCCTGCCTGTGTCCAGTTGCCCAGTTTTTGTACATTGTAATGGATGTAGTTGATTCTGTCAACGTTTTTGTTCAATGTACACCACCACCAGACATCTGCACGAAAGACAGGGTTAAATTCATTGTTCACAGAGAGAACAGTCCGGTGTTAAAACATCATTTGTCATACATCAAGTTTAATCTCTGTATTTTGCCGACGTCATACTTGCCCAGGAGACTAAAACAATGATAACAGAACTAGGTGGAAAAACATACCTGAATACTCATCCTCATTCTGTAAACAGTGTTACAAGAATACATTTTCATTTATGACATGAATTGTTCCCAGATGAAAAACACAAAATAAAAACAAAAAGATATATTCGCTTGTTATTTTCATTAATGTGCAAGTTCGTTCTGCTCCTAAAGACACTACAGGGTTGTGGACAATCTTCACCAGTTTTGAGACGGAAAAACTATTTGGTTTAACCCCCTTTGTAACCTGGACTTTGCCCTGTAGGTCGGTGAGCGTCTTGAGCTTGCTTCCCAATTACTTTTGAAATTAAATTCCTTTTTGCAGTGTGTTAAATGTATCCAAGTTGGCTTTTCCGCTGCATCTGGGTTTTAGTGAAATGTTCAAACCATTTAGAAAAGCATCAATTATTTCTAAACAATACTTCACTTTATTCAATTCTATGAAGTCCATGTGCATTACTTAAAATGGACATTGCAGAGTAGGACATTTTCCTCTATGTGATCTTAGATTGCCCTGAGAGTTATGTTTTGCACATATCAAACAGGTCCTACAGAATTTTTTTAAATAAGAAATAAATCCATAAGTAGTGTAATGTTGATGTATCCTACCATCCCCCCTGTTGAGACATGCGAAAACGCCATGGCTCAATATTGCAGCCCATTTATACACATTTTCTTGGTAAAATAGGTTCAGTTTCATATAATTTTCCAATTTTGCTCCATTTTTTTTATCCATAAATCCTTTTCATTTTGAGGACTTAATTGTTGCATGTCTCTTAAAGTTTCTTTCATAAATTTAATTTTTACGTCCACATAATACATTTATCTCTCCCTCAGCTGCTTTTTTTTTATTATTATTTTGTCTTCGAAAGCATTCCCTAGGGACACCTTATCTGTCCCTGCAGTGTGCGCCGCACATTTACAGATTGCTAGTTGTTTTGGTAGGTGCACAACTTGTAATAATTCTTTTAATAATTCTGCATGTGTTACTTTTGATGTTAATGGGTGAAAAAGAACTATAGGAGCTCTAACTTCTACTGCCATAGAAGCAGCAACTACAGCTCTCACACAATGTGGTAAGGCACACGCTACACTATCAAGTTTTGAAGAAAAATATGCTATTGGTCTCATTTTATCACCATGCTGTTAGACTAGCACCGAGGTCATGACATGACCTTTACAATCCACCATCTGAACAAAAGGTTTTTTTTTTTATTGATAATCTGGTAACGCTAACGCAGCGCTTGACACGAGGGCCTGTTTAGTTTCCAAAGTGCTTCTTCTGCTTCATCCGCCCACAACAAAGAAGACATTTTTAAGATCTTTTTTATACATTAATTTATTCAGAGCTGTTACAATTTCTGCATAATTAGGCACCCAGTTTCGACAATAGTTAGTCAACCCCAAAAAGGACATCATCTGTTTTTTTGTTTGTGGTTTGGGAGCTTGGAGAATTGTCGTTTTTCTATCCTCCGCTATGGTTCGTCCTCCTTCACTCAAATTATGACCCAAATATTTTACATGTCGTTTACACAGTTAAAGTTTATTTTGTTAACCTTATGACCTTCTTTAGCTAAATGTTGCAGAAGCGCTAAAGTGTTTTGCTTACAGGTTTCCCTGTCTGGAGAAACCAATAAAACATCATCTATGTACAACAAAACTTGGCTCCCTCCTGGGGGTTGAAAAGTTGACATACTTGCACTCATTACTTGAAAGAGAATTGTAGGGCTTTCACAGTAGCCTTGAAGTAGTCTGGTGTATGTGTATCTTTTCCCTTCAAAAGTAAAAGCAAACCAATATTGTCTCTCATTCTCTACTGGTATTGAGAAAAAGGCATTTACTGATGTCTACAACCGTGAATACTTTTGCATCTGATCTAAGAGAATTCAACAATGTGTGTGGATCAGGCACATGTTTTGTGTCTGTGTACAGATAGGTCACAGTTATCTTGGCTGGGGTGACCTTGTTGAGTCTGGCTTCATAGTTCCTATCAGGCCCAGGAACTGTTTTGAACCAAAGTGTGACATGCAAATCATCAGGAGACTTTTGATCCTGTAGGGCAGAAATGGCTTTATGCCCCTCTGCCAGAAGTGTTTGTGCAGTGTTGTGTGGGGGTTTGTTGGGCACATCCAATGAATAAAAGTAATACAGTTCCCTGTGTCCCTGGACAACAAAGAAGTCCCCTTCTTTTATTCCTGTAGCTGATCTTGACATTTTCACCACAAATATTTTACCCCAAGAATGTTTTCTCTACATGTTGTTCTACATGCACCCGTGTCACAGAGGAAATTTACAGGTTTGCTATTTATTAGGAGAGTTATTTCAGGTCTTATGCTGTCCATAGAAAGTAAATCCTGAAGATTTAACTGGACCTTTCACTCCCCAATTTCTCTGATCTTAATCATGCTGACTGTCCTGTGTTTTTTTTTTTTTTTTGTTTTCTTTTTCTCGGGCAATCTCTGGCTAAATGTCCTTCCTGCCCGCAACACCAGCACCCTGAGTAACTGTGCCTGTAGTTTTCCTCTCCCACGTCTCCCTTTTAACCTCTAAGGTTCTGACCTCTGCCCCTAAAGCCTTCTCTTCCTCTCCTGTCTTCATAAAACACTTGTTCCTCATCCTGGAAAAAGGCTCCTAGATCCTTTTCCTTTTCTTTTGTAATTTCTTTCTCCCCACTTTCTCGTTTTTGCGCTACTTCTAACCAAAATTGTACATCATCATACCCTTCCTCGTACAATTTTTCAGTTGAATTTGTTTTTTGTTTTATTTTATCCTGATCTTTAATAACTTTCCAGTCGTTTGATTTTAGACTGTCTGTTGGCTTAGTTTTACTTATTCATTTCCCCATTTTTTTTTTATTTAAATTTGGACCAGTTTTGCCGACTCCTAGGGAGTCCTAGAAACTGGAGATCTGATTCAGTAGGCCAGCAATTGAAAGAACCTGTTGTGGTAACTCACTTCAACTCTTTCGAGTGGAGAGTTCTTGCCTGTGCATCCACAAGAGGTTTGCTGCTCACAATCCTACTGTTTTATGAGATAAAATACCAAGTGGTATTTATACCTCCAATCACGCTCACATACACACACTTTTTTTTGTTTCACGGATTTGAAGCGCCTGTTATCGCCGTCCGTTTAACCACGGGTATTCGTCGGGCCCCGTTCCCACAACAGGTGGGTTCGTAAGATCTCAAACCACGTGAGGTTGCAAAACCCGAACCAGGTGAGGTTTGCAAGTCCTCGTCCCAGTAGGGTTTTACAAGACCTCCAGCGAGGTAAGGTTTACCAACCCTTATTTTCTAGTTTTTTATTATTTTTTTTCTCTTTTATTTTTTATTTTTATCTCTTACATACTGATACGGAACTTAAGCGCCTGTTTTCGCCGGACTCCGCAATCCGTTTAGCCTGCAGGTACTAGTTGAGCTACTGTTACTGCTCACAATAGTACAATCAGTAATTGGGCTGCTGTTACTGCCCAAAACAGTGCAGGTATTTTGTTGGGCTACTGTTACTACCCACAATAGTACAATTGTTATTTGAGTTGCTGTTATTACCCAGAACAGTGCTGGTATTAGTTATTTGAGCTGCTATTACCCAGAACATTTCTAGTATTAGTTGGGCTGCTATCATTGCCCACAATAGTACAATTGTTGGTTCCCCAGAACAGGACAAGGCCTCCAGCCTTGAAGCACCAGGCTCCGTTAGCCTATCCACGGATTTTGTGCATTACTTTTACCTGTTAGAGTCTAGAATTGACAGGGTTTTCACTTGTGCGCGCAACAACCTTCAGTCAAAGAAGAAGAAGTCACTCTTCTCTCACACAGAAGAATCACTTACTCTCTAAAACGTCATTCGCCACTTTTTAAAGAAGAATCACTCACCCTCTCTTGTCTTTCCCTGGAGTGTCGTCAACCTTCAGATCCCAGCAGGCAGGCCGAGCCCAGTCCTTTAACAGGTTCTCTTGCCGTGCGCACGGTCTTACTGGGGTCCGCCACACCTGCCGGAATCTTTCCAGTATATGACCTCCGGCTCGAAGGACCAAAAATGTTAGGGTTAACACCTGTTAAACATACATTAACAAAGACAGAAAAGACAAAAGAGTTAGATTCTTTTTCACTCGCGAGGAGAACGGACAGAGATGTGCTTCAGTTACAATCTCCTACCGCTCTGAAGCACATTCTGTCTGCTCCTCTATTTTATTGTTTCTAGGATCCCTAATCACAAGGACGCTGTAGCTCTAAAGGGAGGGGGCAAACAGCTACAGCGTCAAATGTTATTCACTAACTAACACACAATCATTCTGTACTAGATAATCTCCTTCCAGGCACAAAGATTAATAAAATATGTAGTGATCTTAGCAATGATGTTTTTATTGGAGGCCAGCAACTCAACCGAAGCAGAGCTCTTCACCAAGAGGTAAACCTGCAGGAAGATTTTGTTTCTGCTCTCTGTCAGTGAGGCCTTCTGAGAAGGAATCAGAGCAAATCAACAATACAAGAAACATTCTTAATTCTATAATGAGATTAACTTAAAGGAAAGCATAAAATAAAGATACTTTATAAAGATCAATGAGAATAACAAATAATTGATTAATAATATCACAATTTCTCCAACAAAGTCACCGTCTGACGCCACGCCAGCAGCTGCAGGACGGCCGGTTCTGTTCAGACTCCGAATCCAGAACTGGGTTCTCAGCACCGTCAGGAACAATCCGATGTTTTCTGAATGTTTTGTGACTATTGTTTGGACTTCAGTTAAATGTTTAGACCTGGATCTGGACCCACTGATCAGCTCCAGAACCAGACAGGAGGATCATCCGGGTCCGGTTTCTGCAGCTGACCGGGTTCCAGAACAATGAGCTCAACATCACACTTTAATGCTCAGCGTAACTTTTATTCTTACAAGTAAGAAAACACAAAGATGAAAGTAAGAGACATTCAGCTTAAAAACATCTGAAACAACAAATTCAGAAAGTAGAAAACTGAAGAACAAGTTGAGTTTTTCCCAGGAGCCATCAGGAGAAGAACGGTCCAGAGTCCGCACGACGTTTTACGACTCTGTTGCTCGAAGAACTGACGGATGTCATCAGAGGTCACGACCTGCCGCAAGACAGCTATGAGTTAGCATGAGTCAGCAGAATAAGAGGCAGAAACACCGAGACCTGAACCACATGGAGCCGAGTTAAAGACCCCAACATTACAACCTAGAGCCGCCCCAAAGGTACAGCCCTCCACCTTGTGTTATAGCCCCGCCCCTTGAGTTATAGCCCCGCCCCTTGTGTTATAGCCCCGCCCCTTGTGTTATAGCCCCGCCCCTTGAGTTATAGCCCCGCCCCTTGTGTTATAGCCCCGCCCCTTGTGTTATAGCCCCGCCCCTTGAGTTATAGCCCCGCCCCTTGTGTTATAGCCCCGCCCCTTGTGTTATAGCCCCGCCCCTTGTGTTATAGCCCCGCCCCTTGTGTTATAGCCCCGCCCCTTGTGTTACAGCCCCGCCCCTCTTCATCAGGACTGTAAATCTTACCTTTCCTTCAGCTGCAAACGTCTGCAGGAAGTCCTTCAGTTCAGTTTTCATGTCGTTATAGCCTGAAAGATAGAAACCATCAGCTTTGTGGGAACTGTAGTTCTGAGTCTGAAGTTCAGCTGGTGGTTCCGGTTGTGTATTTTAGGTACCGTGGATGATCTCGAGCTGTTGGACCCGGTTCAGGTTGTCCAGTGCGGACATCAGCGGGTCGTGTCCCTGCTGTTTCTGCTCGTTGGTTTTTCCTTTGTTCTCGTAGGCGAGGACGGTGTCCGCTTCGTCCAGCAGGAAGGACAGTCCAGCGTCAGCCAGCTGCACCTGGGTCGGAACGTCACAGGACGGTTAGCGCCTGCTGTCGGGTCAGGTCGACCTTCAAGGTGCAGCTGATGAACACCTGGCAGGTGGAGCAGGAGCAGAGCCTGGAGCGCCACCTGAGGGCCAGAACACGGCTCCTGATTGGTCCGTCTTCTGACACGCTTCCTGCAGCGCCTTCAGCCTGCAGCTCGGCTCCGCCTCCTGCCGGCTGCGTTTACAGCTGGGCTCCACGACCTGGTCGCCCTGGAAACATTTGATTGGTCATCGGGGTTGCTATGGAGATCTACTCAGACCAGGTGAGTCGGGCATCTCACCTTGTCCTCCTTTTTAGGGACACTGGCCTCTCCCTTCTCGTCCTTGGTCTGCAGCGCTGGACCCTGCACTAAATAGACAATGTCCCACACAGGTGAGACGGCACGTCCAACACCCACCTGCAGCTAGAAAACCCCGCCTCTTACCTGCGAGGTGAGCAGCGTAGGCCCAGAGAAAAACATGTTGGTTCATGCAGGACTCACAGATCATCTCCTGCATCTCCACACAGTCAGGAACCGCACAGCCCAGGTGCTGCAGAAGAGGAGACAGGAGAGGAGACGAGTGAGGAGACGAGTGAGGACGAGTGAGGAGACGAGTGAGGAGACGGGAGAGGAGACAGGAGAGGAGACGAGTGAGGAGACGAGTGAGGAGACGAGTGAGGAGACGAGTGAGGAGACGGAGAGGAGACGAGTGAGGAGAGTGAGGAGACGAGTGAGGAGAGAGTGAGGAGACGAGTGAGGAGACGGGAGAGGAGACAGGAGAGGAGACGAGTGAGGAGACGAGTGAGGAACGAGTGAGGAGACGGGAGAGGAGACAGGAGAGGAGACGAGTGAGAGACGAGTGAGGAGACGAGTGAGGAGACGAGTGAGGAGACAGGAGAGGAGACAGGAGAGGAGACGAGGAGGAGACGAGTGAGGAGACGAGTGAGGAGACGGGAGAGGAGACAGAAGAGGAGACAGGAGAGGAGACGAGTGAGGAGACGGGAGAGGAGACAGGAGAGGAGACGAGTGAGGAGACGGGAGAGGAGACGAGTGAGGAGACGGGAGAGGAGACAGAAGAGGAGACGGGAGAGGAGACGAGTGAGGAGACGGGAGAGGAGACAGAAGAGGAGACGGGAGAGGAGACAGGAGAGGAGACGAGTGAGAGACAGGGGAGGAGACGAGAGGAGACGAGTGAGGAGACGGGAGAGGAGACGAGTGAGGAGACGGGAGAGGAGACAGAAGAGGAGACGGGAGAGGAGACGAGTGAGGAGACGGGAGAGGAGACAGAAGAGGAGACGGGAGAGGAGACGAGTGAGGAGACGGGAGAGGAGACAGAAGAGGAGACGAGTGAGGAGACAGAAGAGGAGACGGGAGAGGAGACGAGTGAGGAGACGGGAGAGGAGACAAGAGAGGAGACGAGTGAGGAGACAGGGGAGGAGACGAGAGAGGAGACAAGTGAGGAGACGGGAGAGGAGACAGGAGGCTGGGACACCTGACTCCACCTGCTCATACTCACCCTGCCATGCAGCCAGTCCTCACAGACGACACACTGGATCATCTCATCCTCCACCTGGACACAAGCAGCCAATCACAGTGAGACATGGAGTCACTGCTCAGCTGGTGAACAGGTGAGCTCCAGGTGGTCTCACCTGGTCGTCAGAGTCGGGGTACGGCGGGCAGGTGCAGTAGAGGCCGAAGAAGTTATGGCTGTATTTATTCAGACTGTTGGTGTCGTCCTTCTCCTGACACACACACACACACAACACACACACACACACACACAAAATATAAGTTAAGACATAAAATCTGACATCCATCGTGTTGCTGTGGCTGCAGGACAGCTGAGTCCAGGTGTTCTCAGGTGAACTCACAGGATGTAGTTTACACTGCAGCTCAGAGAACTTCCTGTTTCCACAGTCACAGCGGAAATTTCTGCAGAAACCACAGAAAGAGTTGAAACGGATCCCAAAGATCTAATGATGTTTAGAAACTGACCTGAGTCACATGACGTCAGCAGACCAATCGGTGAGCAGTACCTCTTGGTGTAGAGCTCGAAGAGGTCATGACCTTCGTGGCAGGTGTAGGAGCAGGCCAGGCAGACGCCAGCGGCCTCGCCGCCCTGCGGCGTGCAGGTGTTGCAGGCGTATAGCGCCTGCCGCTTCACGTAGCCCTGCAACAGACGCAGCGTCAGCTGGGCTGGGCCGGGCCGGAACCGGATCCTCCAGGTGAGACTTACCTGAGGATAGGAGCAGTGATCGGAATCACTTCCTGCCAGCACAGCCGAAGCTTCCTCCTCCAGCTCCTCATCCTCCTCCAGAACGTCCACCAGAGACACCGTCTGCTCCTCGCTCATCCTCACCTGCTTCCTGCAAGGCAAAGCGGTGAGTGCCGGAAACCCTGGCCCGGACCACTCGGCCCGGTCCCCACTCGGCCCGGTCCCCACTCGGCCGGTCCCCACCGTTTGAAACAATTTCCTGAAGGTTCTACAGAAACAAAGATGGAGTTTCAGTGAACGGACCAGGAGATACAAGTTTGAATAATTTAGAAAAAATCGCATAATGACGTGGAAGTCTGCAAATCTCCAACAAGTCTGGAAGTACCGGGCTGGGGATCCAGAACCCGGAATATTCTGGGATCCAGAACCCGGAATATTCTGGGATCCAGAACCCGGAATATTCTGGGATCCAGAACCTGGAATATCGAACCGGATTTTAAACGGTCAGCAGCCCCGCGGTTACCATGGTAACCAGGTAAAATGGTCAGTTGTACCAAAGCAGACCTGGGATTGAATAATTACCATGGTAACCATCAGACAGGTGATCAGGTAGATTCTGACCAGTTACCTGCAGGTCATATGTTATTGATACCCTGGTTATCGATCCCTCATCAGCTCCAGGTTGCTAATGCTAACGCTATTAACCCGGACACGAGGGAACTTACAGAACCGAGCCGGACCGAAGCGGAAGCACACCCGACCGCTTCCCACCGTGTGATCAGCTGATCGATGGGGATCAATGACTCCGATCGGAGTGAACCTTTGATGCTGAAGCTCGAGCTCCTGCTAACGGACCACAACTCCCGCTTGACGTCCAGCAGCTCGTATTTGGCGGCTTCCGGTGAGGTCAGAGGTCGGCTACATGGAGGGCGTGTGTACGCGCGGAGCTGCGGCTTAGGGACGAGAACCGAACCTTAAGCGTCCGAACCGGAACCGGACTGAGCGCCCTGAACACCGCGATCTCCGAGCTCAACCAGAAGGCGGCGCAGATGCTCACCGAGCTCGTTGACAGCGAGAGTGCGCGCGCAGCCAGTGCACGAGGTAAACTTCCGGCGGCCGTGTGACCTCCTAGCTAGAGCTCCGCGCGCGAGCTAGCGCGGCAGAAGTAGCGGCGGGAGGGAGCGCGTGAAGAAGCGCGCCGTAGATGTAAAGATGAAAAGCACGTGAGCTAAACAAACAGTTTGACCCGGGCAACATGGCGGCTCTATTAGCGTGTCATACTGGGCCAGACTGTTAAAACCTTATGTTGCAGCTGCTATGGCTTGTAAATAAATCCAGGAGCAGCATGTCGTCATGATAAGACATAAAATCCGATCCTCTGACAGATTCTGAGCTCCTTCCGACTCAGCAGCTTTTCTTTACTAAACTGGAAAAAATGCTCCTGAATTCATTTCCCGGCTCTGATGTTGTTCAAGAGTCAGTCAGACACTTTCTATGAAAGAAGTGAATCAGTTTACCTTCAGGAATTGATGGGTTTGATCCTCATGTTGTCAGAGATCGATGATCAATACTGACTAATTTGTGATCAATCTTTTTGAAATTTAAAAAGCAATAACTTTAGGCTTTTATGAATCACCTAATGAATTCTAAATATTTTCAAGTGTCAAATGGAGCCCATATCCATTTCTAATTACAATTATGAAAATATAGAGTACTCAGAATATTAAGTATGATTAATTTGTCGGCTTTGTTAGGACACTAGCATTGAACATTTTAAATTAGCATTAATGATTACAAGTTGGCGTTTGTTATTGTTTTCCACTGATGGAAACTACCTCAAGTTAAATCTGGTGCAAAGTATCTTTTCTTAATGTGTTCCCCTCATTGTCCCGTTCATACCTGTCAACTCTCCCGTTCCCGTAAACATCCCGTATGTTCCCGTCTCTAGTCCAAACCTTGGCAGGCATGTCCCTGTTAGATCAACTAAACCACAATAGCGCCCCCTGTGGTGGCAGCGTGCTCGAGCAGTTCTGGTTCTGATCGGTGCTTTTCTGTTTTCGCCTCTGGTTCTGGATGCTGAGCCTCTGGGAGGATTTTTGATGTTCCACTTTTACTTTTGAAGAGATGTAGTGTGCAACCATGTATTGTTTTCAAACTGACTTGATTAGCATTTTGGAAACTATGTTTATCTTCAACATTTTCCATATAATTGAGCCAAGATGGCGGAAAGTTTGGTCATCAGCTCATTAAACACAGGGACAGAGTTGAGGGTAGAATTCAGACTAATCGCTGCTCACATTCAGCTCAACTTTGTTCTGGAGGAAATACTCGATCCGTTCATTAATTATGGCCGACAGAGGAAAACGGCTTCAGCTTTTCTGTAACAACGTGAGAGCTTCCACAGATTAAATTAAGAAATAAGGTAAATATAATCTTTCAAAACTAAATCTCACCATGAACTGCTAACTCAGACTATCATGCATTTTAGTAAGTTTTATTTTTTTAATTAACTCATCATTTAGGGTGAATATATATTTTTGTGTCTATAAACATCATGGACATCGTAGAGCCCTGTGATTGGTTGCTCGTGACCAATCAGAGCGCCCCTCTGCAGCGCTGATAATTCACTCTGAATAGGAAATAGATCCAATATTCCCAACGATTTGAAGGATTGATTGCTGTTTCAGCTGCTCTCTACTAAATATTTCCAGCAGCAAACAAGACAACCTCCTGGGGGCGCTGTTCTGACTCACCTGTTTTACCTGCTGCAGGTGATGAAGAGAGTGATGAGGAAGAGGAAGTTTTGAACTCTGACCTTCTGCCTGAAGCTAAAAGATCCAAAACCAGCTGAACTCCTGCTGTGAAACGACATGTTTTGTTTTATTAATGTCATATTAAAGTTGCCATGGTAACCAGTGCCTCACGTCATTAAATACAGAAAAAACAAATAAATTGCTGCTTTTTGATTCGACAGCAGGAACCGACAGTCTGTGCTGAGGGTGGTGAAGATGCTAAGTTTGTTAACTGGAACAGGAAGTGACATCACACGTCCATCTGTCTCTACATGTGAAGGAGCAATCCGGCTCTGTGATTGGCTGGTTTGGGCGCGCCACGGCGACTGCACAGCAGGAAGATGCAGACAGGAAGCACGCAGTAGCCGACGGCGCGGGGATCCGCCCTGGTGCACGAAAACAGGAAGAGGAACAGCTGCAGGTACGGCACCAGGAAGACGGACGCCCACGCCCACACAGGAAGAGGCGGCAGGTGGGCAGAAACGGCGGGGGGCAGCACCAACGAGCCGTCGCTCTGCACGCGCTCCAGACTGACCACATCAAACGCCAAGTAGGCGGCCATGATGCTGAGCAGCAGGAAGAGAGCCACACCCACCCAGCCCATCCTCTGGCGGAAGTTCATCATCCTCCATACTGCAGAGGAGGAAACTTAGTATCAATAACCTGAAATTAACATGTCAATATTCTGATCAATACAGGAAATCAGTCAGTTCCAATACTCAATGCAACTAACTGAGCCAAACCTCGGCACTAGACTGAACTGTTCACCTTCAGACGAACATCTGGAACTGAACTGTTCACCTTCAGACGAACATCTGGAAACTGAACTGTTCACCTTCAGACGAACATCTGGAACTGAACTGTTCACCTTGAGACGAGGAACTGAACTGTTCACCTTCAGACGAACATCTGGAACTGAACTGTTCACCTTCAGACGAACATCTGAAAACTGAACTGTTCACCTTCAGACGAACATCTGAAAACTGAACTGTTCACCTTCAGACGAACATCTGGAACTGAACTGTTCACCTTCAGACGAGGAACTGAACTGTTCACCTTCAGACGAACATCTGGAACTGAACTGTTCACCTTCAGACGAACATCTGAAAACTGAACTGTTCACCTTCAGACGAACATCTGGAAACTGAACTGTTCACCTTCAGACGAACATCTGGAAACTGAACTGTTCACCTTCAGACGAACATCTGGAACTGAACTGTTCACCTTCAGACCGAACATCTGGAACTGAACTGTTCACCTTCAGACGAACATCTGGAAACTGAACTGTTCACCTTCAGACGAACATCTGGAACTGAACTGTTCACCTTGAGACGAGGAACTGAACTGTTCACCTTCAGACGAACATCTGGAACTGAACTGTTCACCTTCAGACGAACATCTGAAAACTGAACTGTTCACCTTCAGACGAACATCTGAAAACTGAACTGTTCACCTTCAGACGAACATCTGGAACTGAACTGTTCACCTTCAGACGAGGAACTGAACTGTTCACCTTCAGACGAACATCTGGAACTGAACTGTTCACCTTCAGACGAACATCTGAAAACTGAACTGTTCACCTTCAGACGAACATCTGGAAACTGAACTGTTCACCTTCAGACGAACATCTGGAAACTGAACTGTTCACCTTCAGACGAACATCTGGAACTGAACTGTTCACCTTCAGACCGAACATCTGGAACTGAACTGTTCACCTTCAGACGAACATCTGGAACTGAACTGTTCACCTTCAGACGAACATCTGGAACTGAACTGTTCACCTTCAGACGAGGAACTGAACTGTTCACCTTCAGACGAACATCTGGAACTGAACTGTTCACCTTCAGACGAACATCTGAAAACTGAACTGTTCACCTTCAGACGAACATCTGGAAACTGAACTGTTCACCTTCAGACGAACATCTGGAAACTGAACTGTTCACCTTCAGACGAACATCTGGAACTGAACTGTTCACCTTCAGACCGAACATCTGGAACTGAACTGTTCACCTTCAGACGAACATCTGGAACTGAACTGTTCACCTTCAGACGAACATCTGGAAACTGAACTGTTCACCTTCAGACGAACATCTGAAAACTGAACTGTTCACCTTCAGACGAACATCTGAAAACTGAACTGTTCACCTTCAGACGAACATCTGGAAACTGAACTGTTCACCTTCAGACGAACATCTGGAACTGAACTGTTCACCTTCAGACCGAACATCTGGAACTGAACTGTTCACCTTCAGACGAACATCTGGAACTGAACTGTTCACCTTCAGACGAACATCTGAAAACTGAACTGTTCACCTTCAGACGAACATCTGAAAACTGAACTGTTCACCTTCAGACGAACATCTGAAAACTGAACTGTTCACCTTCAGACGAACATCTGGAAACTGAACTGTTCACCTTCAGACGAACATCTGGAACTGAACTGTTCACCTTCAGACCGAACATCTGGAACTGAACTGTTCACCTTCAGACGAACATCTGGAACTGAACTGTTCACCTTCAGACGAGGAACTGAACTGTTCACCTTCAGACGAACATCTGGAAACTGAACTGTTCACCTTCAGACGAACATCTGGAACTGAACTGTTCACCTTGAGACGAGGAACTGAACTGTTCACCTTCAGACGAACATCTGGAACTGAACTGTTCACCTTCAGACTGAACATCTGGAACTGAACTGTTCACCTTCAGACCGAACATCTGGAAACTGAACTGTTCACCTTCAGATGAACATCTGGAAACTGAACTGTTCACCTTCAGACGAACATCTGGAACTGAACTGTTCACCTTCAGACCGAACATCTGGAACTGAACTGTTCACCTTCAGACGAACATCTGGAACTGAACTGTTCACCTTCAGACGAGGAACTGAACTGTTCACCTTCAGACGAACATCTGGAACTGAACTGTTCACCTTCAGACCGAACATCTGGAAACTGAACTGTTCACCTTCAGACGAACATCTGGAAACTGAACTGTTCACCTTCAGACGAACATCTGGAACTGAACTGTTCACCTTGAGACGAACATCTGGAAACTGAACTGTTCACCTTCAGACGAACATCTGAAAACTGAACTGTTCACCTTCAGACGAACATCTGGAACTGAACTGTTCACCTTCAGACGAGGAACTGAACTGTTCACCTTCAGACGAACATCTGGAACTGAACTGTTCACCTTCAGACGAACATCTGGAAACTGAACTGTTCACCTTCAGAAGAACATCTGGAACTGAACTGTTCACCTTCAGACCGAACATCTGGAACTGAACTGTTCACCTTCAGACCGAACATCTGGAAACTGAACTGTTCACCTTCAGATGAACATCTGGAACTGAACTGTTCACCTTCAGACCGAACATCTGGAACTGAACTGTTCACCTTCAGACGAACATCTGGAACTGAACTGTTCACCTTCAGACGAACATCTGAAAACTGAACTGTTCACCTTCAGACGAACATCTGAAAACTGAACTGTTCACCTTCAGACGAACATCTGGAAACTGAACTGTTCACCTTCAGACGAACATCTGGAACTGAACTGTTCACCTTCAGACCGAACATCTGGAACTGAACTGTTCACCTTCAGACGAACATCTGGAACTGAACTGTTCACCTTCAGACGAGGAACTGAACTGTTCACCTTCAGACGAACATCTGGAAACTGAACTGTTCACCTTCAGACGAACATCTGGAACTGAACTGTTCACCTTCAGACGAGGAACTGAACTGTTCACCTTCAGACGAACATCTGGAAACTGAAACTGTTCACCTTCAGATGAACATCTGGAACTGAACTGTTCACCTTCAGACCGAACATCTGGAACTGAACTGTTCACCTTCAGACGAACATCTGGAACTGAACTGTTCACCTTCAGACGAACATCTGAAAACTGAACTGTTCACCTTCAGACGAACATCTGAAAACTGAACTGTTCACCTTCAGACGAACATCTGGAAACTGAACTGTTCACCTTCAGACGAACATCTGGAACTGAACTGTTCACCTTCAGACCGAACATCTGGAACTGAACTGTTCACCTTCAGACGAACATCTGGAACTGAACTGTTCACCTTCAGACGAGGAACTGAACTGTTCACCTTCAGACGAACATCTGGAAACTGAACTGTTCACCTTCAGACGAACATCTGGAACTGAACTGTTCACCTTGAGACGAGGAACTGAACTGTTCACCTTCAGACGAACATCTGGAACTGAACTGTTCACCTTCAGACTGAACATCTGGAACTGAACTGTTCACCTTCAGACCGAACATCTGGAAACTGAACTGTTCACCTTCAGATGAACATCTGGAAACTGAACTGTTCACCTTCAGACGAACATCTGGAACTGAACTGTTCACCTTCAGACCGAACATCTGGAACTGAACTGTTCACCTTCAGACGAACATCTGGAACTGAACTGTTCACCTTCAGACGAGGAACTGAACTGTTCACCTTCAGACGAACATCTGGAACTGAACTGTTCACCTTCAGACCGAACATCTGGAAACTGAACTGTTCACCTTCAGACGAACATCTGGAAACTGAACTGTTCACCTTCAGACGAACATCTGGAACTGAACTGTTCACCTTGAGACGAACATCTGGAAACTGAACTGTTCACCTTCAGACGAACATCTGAAAACTGAACTGTTCACCTTCAGACGAACATCTGGAACTGAACTGTTCACCTTCAGACGAGGAACTGAACTGTTCACCTTCAGACGAACATCTGGAACTGAACTGTTCACCTTCAGACGAACATCTGGAAACTGAACTGTTCACCTTCAGAAGAACATCTGGAACTGAACTGTTCACCTTCAGACCGAACATCTGGAACTGAACTGTTCACCTTCAGACCGAACATCTGGAAACTGAACTGTTCACCTTCAGACGAACATCTGGAAACTGAACTGTTCACCTTCAGACGAACATCTGGAACTGAACTGTTCACCTTCAGACGAGGAACTGAACTGTTCACCTTCAGACGAACATCTGGAACTGAACTGTTCACCTTCAGACGAACATCTGGAAACTGAACTGTTCACCTTCAGACGAACATCTGAAAACTGAACTGTTCACCTTCAGACGAGGAACTGAACTGTTCACCTTCAGACGAGGAACTGAACTGTTCACCTTCAGACGAACATCTGGAACTGAACTGTTCACCTTGAGACGAACATCTGAAAACTGAACTGTTCACCTTGAGACGAACATCTGGAAACTGAACTGTTCACCTTCAGACGAACATCTGGAACTGAACTGTTCACCTTGAGACGAACATCTGAAAACTGAACTGTTCACCTTGAGACGAACATCTGGAAACTGAACTGTTCACCTTCAGACCGAACGTTTTATCAATTGTGGTAAAAATGAACCGAGTCTGGCCCAGAGCCGTGTTTAACACTGGCTGCACCAGACTTCAGTCAGATTTTATTCAGTTCAAGTGGATCCGAACAGTTCTTTAGACCGGATCTCGGCGCTGATTTCCGTCTCGCTGTTTGGACTCGGACTGAGTCAGAGGTAAACACTGAAGGACTCTTCCTCCATGTTGCTCTTTCTTTGCTACAGCTGGTCGCGCGCAGCCACGTGCCTGGTCACCTGTCAGCTCGCGCTACAGCGGCTCCTACCTTCCCTCGCGCTGATTCTTTCAAAGTAAAATCCAGGTTCGGACTCGGTTTCAATCAGCAGCTGGTTCGGTCCGGAACCGCTCGCCTTTCTTCCTGTTTAATCATGTGACTCTGACATAACGTCATTGAATCTTATGACGGAGAGCGCCCCCTGGCGACGAGGCTGATGTTTACTGAGTCATTTTAAGTTGGTCAACAAAAGAAACAAGAAATCCTGAAAATATCAACATATCCTGAATAATGAACATATCCATGCCTTTTTTCTTCATTCTAATGTTTGTATTTCAGTTTCTGAAATGAAAAGCAGCGAATTTTCAGGTATTCTACAACAATATTAGTGGCTGTAAAAAACTTCCCCAGCATTGACTTTACAAGCAGTAATGATGATCATGGAGTTCAGTGAGAACGAGACGTTTTGAGAAAAGAATCGACGTCCGTGAAATGAACGGTCTTTCTTCCCGGCACTTCTCTGTTTGTCCTCTGGGAGGCGCCAGAGACATTAATTTTCCTTTCTGGTAGATGAAAAAATTCATCCAGATGAAAACAAGCAGCGAACAATGAACCCAAATAAAATCACATGAATCACATGAAGCTTCTGGCAGAACAGAAAGAAGCAAGAAAGTTTGAATCCAGAGCAGAATTTCTACATGTTTCAGTTTTTATGAATCAAAGCAGTTCTGAGTTTGCAGCCTGGATTACAGATACTCTGTTTTCAGCTGTTTTCTGGACCCAACCGAGCCACGGCCCAGCCGGATCCTCATCAGCATAACATCCAATCAGAAGGTAGCAGCTCAGTGGATTCATTCGTCCAGAACCGGACCAGGACCGGCTGTCAGAACGTCTCCTGGTCCAACGAGTCAGAACCATCAGAGTTCTGGGTGGAGGTGGCATCATCATCATCATCACTGGTTCTGCAGTGAAGCTCTGAGGTCAAGGTCATCCGGTGACCTCCAGCACTCAGGTCTGTTATGACAGTTGCGACTTTGACCCCTGACCTTTGCACCATGCTGACTCTGTAGCTGCTAACGTGTGATCTGATTCCTGACCTCACAGGGGTTCACCATGGGGTTAAAGGTCGGGGTTAGGAATGAGGCCTGGTTCTGGGTGTGGTGTGTGTGTGTGTGTGTGTGTGTGTGTGTGGTGTGTGTGTGTGTGTGTGTGTGTGTGTGTGTGTGGGGTACCTCTCCTACACAGTAAACCAGAACCGACCCGTTACAGCAGATTCTGCTGAGTCATGCAGATTCTGCTGAGTCATGCAGATTCTGCTGAGTCATGCAGATTCTGCTGAGTCATGCAGATTCTGCTGAGTCATGCAGCCTGCAGGTTTGTTTTGATCAGGTTCAGTCCCAACATGTCGGAGGCGTTACCATGACATCCAAGCTGCCAGCTGCTCTCCAGATGTTTTCCTGAACTTTCTGCTGGCTTCTGTCCAGAACCGACCCAACAGAACCAGAACCTGGGTAGAGTTCTGCTCCAGACCTTAAATCCTTTCAGCCTTGCTGCCGATAGTCTGCAGGAACCAGATGGGGGGAGTGATGCATGCTGGGTAAATTGCTGCATTCATTAAAATAAACCATCAGAGGAAAACCCGGAGCGGATCAGGATTCCCTTCGCTCTGAAACCAAAAGCTGCTTCTCTGATTCAGAGTTTCCAGCAGCTGCTGAAGGTTTCTGTTGTCCAGAACCGGAATCAGAACCGGAACCAGAACCAGAACCGACCATCCTAAATGTCTTTAAAGCTTTAATGTGTCGACATGAAGCTTCTGTCTGAGATCAAACAGCAGGAAGTTTCAGCCTCTGTGGTCATCATCATCATCATCATCATCACCCTCCTCCTCCCTGCTGGGATTTCCCATCATGCTCTCTGTCTGGTGGATTTTTGGTTTTGCGCAGATTCGCATGAAAACAGTAAAAGTTTAGGAAAACGTGGAGCGGAATCTGGATCCGCTCCACGCCTGGAAACAAGCAGATAAAGTTACTTTCTGAGTGACATGCTGTTTATTCTGTGGTTCTGGTTCTGTTGGGTCCAGCTGGGGTTGGACCTTTGACCCAACATCTGGCTCTCAGCAGCACAGAAATGTGTTAACAGATGCTGAAAAAACCCGGGCCGAGACCAGAACCCGGTCTGCCTTTCCAGAACCTTTCCCAGGAAGCGGGACCGGGTTTGGGTCAGAATGTTTCGTGTCGCTGTGAGGTTCGACAGGAGGAAGAGGAGGAGGAGGAAGAGGAGGAGCAGCAGCGGATGTAAACAGCTGCGTTTCTTCTCCGGCTCACTTTTACGCAGCGCGCAGATGGAACACATCTTCCTCCTCATCATCATCCTCCTGCTCGGAACCGCGGTTCCGTCCACGGCGGACTGGACTCTGGTTCTGCTCCACACCAACGACGTGCACGCGCGCGTGGAGGAGACCAGCGTGCACTCCATCAAGTGCGGCAGAGCGGAGAAATGCTACGGCGGCGTGGCGCGGAGAGCCACTGAGATCCGCCGGATCCGGAACCATGAGCCGAACGTTCTTCTGCTGGACGCGGGGGACCAGTTCCAGGGAATGGTTTGGTTCACTTTGTACAAAGGAGCCGAAGCGGCGCACTTCATGAACCTGCTGGGCTACGACGCCATGGTAGGAAGGAAGTGAACCTGCAGATGAAACGTTTCCATTTTCTATTGGTAAAACATCTGAAAAGTGTGGCAGATGTATTTAAATTGTGACTCCGAGGGTCTGCAGGTCTTCTGAGTTTATCTTTGAACATCTACAGAGGTAGATTCAGGTCTGGACGTTGACTAGGCCATTCAGTCTATTTGTTGCTCAGATTTCTGTCCTGGTCTTGAGGTTTTCTCCTCCAGGTTGTTGTTTCCTGTTTCTCAGTGCTGCTTCCTGTTCCTTCCTGCTGTTTCCTGTTGCTTTCTGCTGCTTCCTGTTTCCCAGTGCTGCTTCCTGCTCTGTCTCTGTGGTTTAGGTTTTCTGCCAATCACCTGCAGCGCCTCGTTAAGGCTTGCAGACTTGCTACATCTTTGGTTTCAAATTGAAATCAGAGGATTTGTTCCCAGCCTGCAGAAAAGACCTTTGAACCCTGGAGGACTGTGGTATGAATTGGCGAAAAGGGATCAGATGCTCAGTGACTCAGTATTACTCTAACTGAGGAGAGAGGCCAGCACCAGCCGGCGCTCCGGAAATGGCTGCGGATCAAATCTGGTTTAATTATCTGTAGAGATAAACCGGCAACTTAGCAACAACCAGCAACAAAAACAAGCAACGGTCTTTAATGGTACGAATCAGAAAGTCACATTCCAGCAGCACCAAGAGAGGAATGGAAAACTGAGCTGGACTGAATGACCAGGTTATTCAGAAAGTGGAAGATCCCACACATTGGGTTAATTCCATCGTGATTACAAAGAAGAAAAATGGAAAATTAAGAAAATGCATGGATCCAAAAGATCTAAATAGAACATCAGGAGAAAACATTATTCATATCCACTTGAGAGGAAATAATGAGTGAGATGGCTGCAAGTTGGATGCATCACAAGAGTTCTGGTGAGTGAAGCTGGATGAAAGCAGGACCAAGTATTGTACTTTTAACACCTTTTGGAAGATACTGTTTTCTAAGACTTCCTTTTGGAATAAAATCTGCACCAGAAATATTTCATAGAGCAATGGAGAGGATCATAGAAGGCTTGAATGGAGTAAGAGTCTACATTGATGACATCATCATTTGGGGACCAACTGTTCAAGAACACAATGACAGATTGAGACGCGTCATGGAGCGCATACGGAAAAATGGACTGAAGCTCAATAAAAATAAATGTGAGTTTTGTGTCAAAGAAATTCTGTTTCTGGGAGACAAACTATCTGGCCGAGGTGTTCAACCAGATGAAGATAAAATACAAGCCATTTTAAAGATGCCACCGCCTGCTGACAAAACGGGTGTTCTGTGCATCATGGGCATGATTAATTTTATAGGAAAATTCATTCCCAATTTGAGTGCAAGGATGACTAACATTCGCAGACTCTTGTACAATGACAGTCAATTCCAGTGGACAGAAGTTCATGAACAAGAGTGGAAGGAACTGAAAAAATATCTGACTTCAGAACCAGTGCTTACCTTCTACGACCCTACTACAAAATGAAAACTGTCGACAGATGCCTCAAAAGATGGACTTGGAGCAGTTCTTCTTCAAGCTGAGAATGACCAATGGAAGCCAGTAGCTTATGCATCCAGAGCCATGACAAAAGCTGAATGCAGATATGCTCAGATAGAGAAAGAATGCTTGGGGCTGGCTTATGGGCTAGAACGGTTTCATAACTATGTATATGGTTTACCATCTTTTGTAGTTGAAACTGATCACCGACCATTGGTTGCCATCATTAAAAAACATCTGAATGAGATGTCACCCAGGATTCAGAGGCTTATGATGAAGATGCAGATGTATGAATCTACACTGATCTACACTCCAGGAAAACGTCTGATTCTTGCTGATGCTCTGTCTAGAGACCCTACACATGATAGGGTGAGTTCAACTGAAGAGGATATTCAATGGAAAATTTCTTTACTGACTTGAATGATCTTCTATCTCTCATATGCATTGATGATGATTGTTTAATAATTGTTGGTGATTTCAACATTCATGTGGACAAACCTCAAGACAGAGGGGCAAAAAAGCTCTCTGATATTTTAGAAAATGTTGGTTTAACACAACATGTCACACAAGCAACACACACTGGACCTGGTTATCAGTAAGGGTGTGAATATTTCCAATGTCTCTGTAACTGATGTCGCCCTGTCGGATCACTTTGCTGTTATCTTTGAAGGTTCTTTATCCTTTAATCCACTTGGACAAACAGCTACTGTCACAAAACGTTCTTTCACAGAAACAATTAATCAAATCTACTCTTCCTCCTCACCCTTAAGCTGTAATGATGTAGATCAGTTGGTAGATGATTTTCAGTCTAAAGTTTCATATATCATTGATTCCATTGCCCCAATTAAAGTAAATGTTGTGTTTGGTAGGAAGAAATCTCCATGGAGAAAAGAACAAACAGTTCGATCTGCAAGACAACTCTGCAGCAGGGCAGAACCAAAATGGAGTAAAACTCAACTTCACGTTCATAATGACATCTACAAAGAAAGACTACGTAACTATTACTTAACACTAAAACATGGAAGGGAGGCTTTCTTTGCAGATGTCATAAACAAAAACATTAACAATGCCTAAACTCAATCTAATGCTGATGGAACAAGTTTTTCAGATTCTTTTCAGAGAAAATTCAAAAAATCAGAGGATTAATCTGCACATCAACTCTAAAGCCAGAACCATTGCTGAACCCAAACAGAACAAACAGGAAAAATGACCCAATTTCAACTACTTCATTATAAAACCCTAGAAGAAATTATAAGTCAATGAAGTTCAAGCTCCTGCTGTCTGGATGTTCTAGATCTATAACTCTAGAACATTTATTTAAGAAAGTCCTGCCTGTTATTGCTGCAGATCTGATCCAAATAGTAACTCATCACTTACATCAGGCGTTTTCCCCCAGGCTTTGAAAACAGCAGTCATTAAACCACTGCTAAAAGAACAATCTGGACAAATCACTACTGCAGAATTACAGGCCGACCTCTGACCTCTGACCTCCCATTCATCAGCAAAGTTATTGAAAAAACTGTGAAAACAATTAAATAGTTTCCTCATGATGACCAACTGCTTTGACTCTTTCCAGTCTGGTTTTCGTGCTCAGCACAGCACGGAGACTGGCCTAGTCAAAGTATTCAATGATATCCATATAAATACGGACAGTGGGAGAACCACGGTGCTGGTTCTGGTTCTGGTTCTGTTGGACCTCAGTGCAGCTTTTGACATATTACTGAATCGACTGGAGAGTTGGGTCGGACTCTCCGGTTGGATACTCGACTGGTTTGAATCTTACATAAAGAACAGGGATTTCTTTGTTTCAATTGAAAACTTCTCATCAAAGAGGTCAAAGGTCACATGTGGGGTACCCCAAGGTTCAATCTTAGGACCCCTCTTATTTAATATTTATATTCTCCCACTAGCTCAGGTCATAACAGGAAATAATATCAGCTACCATAACTATGCAGATGACACACAGCTCTACATCACGATGTCACCAGGTGACCTTTGACCCCATCCAATCACTGAATAAATGTTTAGAACAGATAAATGTGTGGATGTGCCAAAACTTTCTCCAGCTGAACAAAAACAAAACTGAAGTCATTAATTTTGGACCTAAAGAGAAACGATCTAGAACTATAGATCTAGAGTTATAGATCTAGAGTTATAGATCTAGAGTTATAGATCTATAACTCTAGATCTACAGATCTAGAGTTATAGATCTATGTTTATAGATCTAGAGCTATAGATCTAGAGTCAATGCACAGCTTCAGTTATTACAACTAAAACCTGGAAATCAGACCCAAAACCTGGGAGTAGTGATGGACTCGGACTTGAACCTTGCGAGCCACATAAAGACAGTAACAAAGTCGGCCTTCTATCACCTGAAGAACATCTCTAGGATTAGAGGACTAATGTCTCAGCCAGATCTAGAGAAACTCATCCATGCGTTTATCTTTAGTCGCATTGATTATTGTAACAGCGTCTTCACAGGCCTGTCCAACAAATCAATCCTCCAGCTGCAGCTGATCCAGAAGCTGCTGCTCCTGTTCTCACTAAAACCAGGAAGATAGAGACATAACAGCAGTTTTAAAGTCCCTCCACTGGCTCCCTGTAGCTCAAAGAATAGATTTTAAAATACTGTTGTTAGTTTACAAATCACTGAATGGTTTAGCACCACAATACATTAAAGATCTGCTGTTGTATCAACCTTCCAGACTCTCAGGTTCTGGTTCTGGTTCTGCTCTGCATCCCCAGAACCAGAACCAAGAGAGGAGAAGCAGCTTTCAGCATCTATGCACCAAACATCTGGAACAAACTTCCAGAAAACTGTAAACCAGCAGAAACCCTGACTTCTTTTAAATCGCAATTAAAAACACACCTGTTTAGAATTGTTTTTGAGACGTAATATGTAACAATGTATTGTTTATTATATGATGCATGACTTTGTGTTTTTGTGTTTATGATCTAAAGCACTTTGAAATGCCTTGCTGCTGAAATGTGCTATACAAATAACATTTGATTGATTTATTGATTGATTGATTGATTGATTGATTGAATACATGTGAATTTGGTGTCCAATGTGTTGCCTGTATCAGATAGAAAGTTACAGCAAATAGTTGATGCAACAGCTAAGGATACAGAGTTACAGTTGGTCATACAGAATATGGATGAAGGATGGCCAATAGTTCACAGTTTTTCAATGTTAAAGCTGATCTGTGTGGTGGATGGACTGTTACTTGTGAGTTCAGACAGGAAATTCTACAGCGGATTCATGAGGGTCACCTCAGCATGGAGAAATGTACAAGAAGAGCTAGAGAATGTGTTTTCTGGCCTGGACTAAATAAGGACATTGAGGTGCTGATAAGTAAATGTGAAACATGTCAGACATTTAGAAACAAACAGAGCAAAGAACCGATGATCATATCTGACACTCCAACATCACCATGGCTAAAAGTTGGAATGGATTTATTTCATCTTAAAGGAAAAGACTATTTAGTGATCATTGATTACTATTCAAACTATCCTGAGATGGCTCTGTTGGCTAATATTCCACATGTTGTAGTGAGTGATAATGGACCATGTTTTAATAGCAGAGAATGGCAAAGCTTTGCAGAACAATATGATTTTAAGCATGTAACATCAAGTCCACATTATGCACAATCAAATGGAAAAGCGGAGAAAGGAGTTCTATTCTTAAGCAACTTCTGAAGAAAGCTGCAGATAGTAACTCTGACCCGTATTTAGCTTTATTAAGCTATAGATCATCACCATTGCAATGCAGATATTCACCTGCTGAACTTTTGATGAATCGAAAGATTCGTACAACTTTGCCAAGTTATGACAATAAAGGACAAAGAGCAAAGAAATCGTCAAAGTTGGAGTGTAAGTTACGAAAGCAGAAAGTAAAACAAAAGTCATATTATGACAGATCAGCAAAGCTTCTACCCTAACCCACTGTCATACCAGGACCCAGTAAGGATTCAGGATGATGAGGGATGGAAAACCAAAGCAACTGTTCTGCAGGAAGTAACTCCACGTTCATTTGAAGTGAAAACTGAAGATGGACAAATTCTGAGACAAAATTCTGACAGGATTATTTTTGTAACATTCTTACTTGAAAGAAAGGAGGATGTGATGATTGAATGAATTCTGCTTAAGTCCACTATGTGGCGATCATGAGTTTATGTGAATGCAGAAACGTAAAGAACAAGACGACAGAAGGAGAGTCTCTGGTGACGCCTGATTATGATCAAACACGAATATAACCCCCTGGTGTTCTGAATGTTCCCTGATGTTCTGAATGTTCCCTGGTGTTCTGAATGTTCCCTGATGTTCTGAATGTTGATGGTCTGAATGTTCCCTGGTGTTCTGAATGTTCCCTGATGTTCTGAATGTTCCCTGATGGTCTGAATGTTCCCTGATGTTCTGAATGTTCCCTGATGTTCTGAATGTTCCCTGATGTTCTGAATGTTCCCTGATGTTCTGAATGTTCCCTGATGTTCTGAATGTTCCCTGATGGTCTGAATGTTGATGGTCTGAATGTTCCCTGATGTTCTGAATGTTCCCTGGTGTTCTGAATGTTCCCTGATGGTCTGAATGTTGATGGTCTGAATGTTCCCTGATGTTCTGAATGTTCCCTGATGTTCTGAATGTTCCCTGATGGTCTGAATGTTCCCTGATGTTCTGAATGTTCCCTGATGTTCTGAATGTTCCCTGATGTTCTGAATGTTCCTTGATGTTCTGAATGTTCCCTGATGTTCTGAATGTTCCCTGATGTTCTGAATGTTCCCTGATGTTCTGAATGTTGATGGTCTGAATGTTCCCTGATGTTCTGAATGTTCCCTGGTGTTCTGAATGTTCCCTGATGGTCTGAATGTTAATGGTCTGAATGTTCCCTGATGTTCTGAATGTTCCCTGATGTTCTGAATGTTCCCTGATGGTCTGAATGTTCCCTGATGTTCTGAATGTTCCCTGATGTTCTGAATGTTCCCTGATGGTCTGAATGTTGATGGTCTGAATGTTCCCTGATGTTCTGAATGTTCCCTGGTGTTCTGAATGTTCCCTGATGGTCTGAATGTTGATGGTCTGAATGTTCCCTGATGTTCTGAATGTTCCCTGATGTTCTGAATGTTCCCTGATGGTCTGAATGTTGATGGTCTGAATGTTCCCTGGTGTTCTGAATGTTCCCTGATGTTCTGAATGTTCCCTGATGTTCTGAATGTTCCCTGATGGTCTGAATGTTCCCTGATGTTCTGAATGTTCCCTGATGTTCTGAATGTTCCCTGGTGTTCTGAATGTTCCCTGATGTTCTGAATGTTCCCTGATGTTCTGAATGTTCCCTGATGTTCTGAATGTTCCCTGGTGTTCTGAATGTTCCCTGATGTTCTGAATGTTCCCTGATGTTCTGATGTTCCCTGATGGTCTGAATGTTGATGGTCTGAATGTTCCCTGATGGTCTGAATGTTGATGGTCTGAATGTTCCCTGATGTTCTGAATGTTCCCTGATGGTCTGAATGTTCCCTGATGTTCTGAATGTTCCCTGATGGTCTGAATGTTCCCTGATGTTCTGAATGTTCCCTGATGTTCTGAATGTTCCCTGATGTTCTGAATGTTCCCTGGTGTTCTGAATGTTCCCTGATGGTCTGAATGTTGATGGTCTGAATGTTCCCTGATGTTCTGAATGTTCCCTGATGTTCTGAATGTTCCCTGATGGTCTGAATGTTGATGGTCTGAATGTTCCCTGGTGTTCTGAATGTTCCCTGATGTTCTGAATGTTCCCTGATGGTCTGAATGTTCCCTGATGTTCTGAATGTTCCCTGATGTTCTGAATGTTCCCTGGTGTTCTGAATGTTCCCTGATGTTCTGAATGTTCCTGATGTTCTGAATGTTCCCTGATGTTCTGAATGTTCCCTGATGTTCTGAATGTTCCCTGATGTTCTGAATGTTCCCTGGTGTTCTGAATGTTCCCTGATGTTCTGAATGTTCCCTGATGTTCTGAATGTTCCCTGATGGTCTGAATGTTGATGGTCTGAATGTTCCCTGATGGTCTGAATGTTGATGGTCTGAATGTTCCCTGATGTTCTGAATGTTCCCTGATGGTCTGAATGTTCCCTGATGTTCTGAATGTTCCCTGATGGTCTGAATGTTCCCTGATGTTCTGAATGTTCCCTGATGTTCTGAATGTTCCCTGATGTTCTGAATGTTCCCTGATGTTCTGAATGTTCCCTGATTTCTCCCTCAGGTTTTTGGGAACCATGAGTTTGATAACGGTGTCGATGGACTCATGGAGCCGTTCCTGCGGGACATCAACTGCTCCGTCCTCAGCGCCAACATCCGACCCGACTCGACTCTGGCCTCCACCTTTGGCGCCGCCTTCCAGCCCTACAAGATCTTTGAGGTCGGAGGTCAGCGGGTCGGCGTGGTGGGGTACACGTCACGGGAAACGCCGACTCTGTCCCAGCCTGGTAAGAAGCTGCAGGAGCATCTTCATTTGTGACCATGCACCAAATTCACTTATCCATGAGGTTTTAAGGAGAGAACCTCCGAGGAGGGATTGAAACAAAATGGCTCATAGACCCAGAATGTGTATGTTTCAAAGATAATCAAATTAACATCTATTTTGAAATCAATACATATGAAACACCATCCTCCTCAAGGTGGGAAGCCTTTAAGGCCTATATAAGGGGTCAAATGAGGTCAAATGATTAGTTTTCTAAGACAAAACAAAGCAGCAGACATTGAGCTGCTGGAGGGAAAACGATCAAACGATAAAACCTCTGATTCTCACAACACAGTTCAATGAACTTTCTCACGCAGTCGTTCTATGATCAGGAGAAACTCCTTATCAGCCTGGCGACTCCGACAATTACAAAATGAGAAAAATATTACTTCAGTCGAAAATACTGAGGGACAGATTATTACCAATCCTCTAGAAATCAATGAAATGTTTAAGGTCTATTTTGAAAAATGATACAGCTCAGACATAATGCATGAGGAACAAAAGCAAAATGTTTTCTTAGAAACCCTCCAAATGACCAAAAACTCAGAATCAATGAGCTCAGATCTCAGTGCAGCTGTAACTACAGAGGAAATACAGATCACTGAACATTGACATGTATTTAGACTCATTTATTCTCCCGCCTCACTAAGAGGAGCCCAAACCTGGAAAACCTTGCAGCAAGTGCAATAAGTGTCCATTTAAAGATTCTTTGTAAAATTCTGGCTCAAAGATTGGAGAGAATATTGTCTGAAATAATTACCAGGGATCAAAATAGGTTTATTATAGGAAGACAGAGATTTCATAATGTGAGACGAGTGCTGGAAATCATTCATAATATGGAAGAAAAAACAGACACTGCTTTGCTATCATTGGGTGCTGAAAAGGCCTTTGATAGAGTTGAATGGGCCAATTTATTGGAGATATTGGAAAGATTTGGCTGTGGGGACAATTCCTGTCAAACTTTCATACAATGAGCCTAATGCTGAAATAATAACGAATGGAGTTACAGCTAAATCATTTCAAATTAAACGAGGTTGTAGACAAGCTGCCTGTCCCTTTATGATTTATTGTAGCAATAGGACCGTCTGCCGTTGCAGGGCAGTCTCATAAAAACCCCACAGTCAGAAATATGATCTTGGCATCAGGTTAACAAGTATGAAGGTGATTCCTCCTCCCCGTCACGCCTCAGTCCGATACGAGGCAACATCTTCTGCCCAGGTCTGTCTTGAAAGTGAGACCCAGATCTCAACGGGGTTCACCTGGCTGAACAAAGGAAATGAAAAAAGATCCTGGTTTAGGAAATGGGCTGAAAAAGCTTTAAAGGCAAAAGGAGATCTAGTGGAATCAGAGGTTTTGATGACGTTTGAGGAGTTGAAGGCCAGATATGATATCTGGGATATTTATTATTTTCAATATCTACAGGTGAGAAATTTTATTAGATCATCTCAAAATCAGTGTGACTCCATCCCTTTGCTATTGAAATGCAAAGGAATGATCTCCAAACGACTCAGCATGTCGGTGGAGGATCCTCTGAGTCGTCGTCTGGAAGCTCGATGCCTGGAGGGAGGATTCATGGGAGAACTTGGCTGCAGAGGGAGAAGGCGTGTGCTGAGGCACAAACACAAGCCACCAATACGCGCCTCAAAGTTCTGCAACATAATTGGCTAATGAGAACATATGAGATGCCAGAAAAGCTTAATGATTAGAACGGAGGATCCCAGACCTGTGTGCCAGATGTGGAGAAGAGAAGGAAATGTTCTTCCATTGCATCTGGAAATGCAAGAAAGTTCAACAATACTGGAGAGGAGATTGAACAAACTCTGGAGACGATTCAGGTATAAAACTAGATTTTGACCCCTCATTAAAACATGGATATGAGGTGAGTTATAGTTGTGGATGATCTGCTGCTGTGTCCTGAGATAATCATCATTATTTCTATACTTGACTATTTCACTTTGAATTATTGAACGTTAGCTGAATGTTAGCTGAACATTAGCTGAATGTTAGCTGAATGTTAGCTGAACGTTAGCTGAATGTTAGCTGAACGTTAGCTGAATGTTAGCTGAATGTTAGCTGAATGTTAACCGAACGTTAGCTGAATGTTAGCTGAATATTAGCTGAACATTAGCTGAATGTTAGCTGAATGTTAACTGAACGTTAGCTGAATGTTAGCTGAACGTTAGCTGAATGTTAGCTGAATATTAGCTGAATGTTAGCTGAACGTTAGCTGAATGTTAGCTGAATATTAGCTGAACGTTAGCTGAATGTTTGCTGAATATTAGCTGAATGTTAGCTGAACGTTAGCTGAATGTTAGCTGAACATTAGCTGAATGTTAGCTGAATATTAGCTGAACGTTAGCTGAATTTGCTGAATATTAGCTGAATGTTAGCTGAACATTAGCTGTATATTAGCTGAATGTTAGCTGAACGTTAGCTGAATGTTAGCTGAATGTTAGCTGAACGTTAGCTGAATGTTAGCTGAACATTAGCTGAATGTTAGCTGAATATTAGCTGAACATTAGCTGAATGTTAGCTGAACATTAGCTACCCTGGCCTTTTCCTTTCATGTCAGAGTATTAATGTCTGACATGTATATTAATGGAAACATTGTTGAAAAACCAATAAAGAACATTGGAGAAAAAAAAGCCCGACTGCCATCTCCATGGCAACCGGGCCGGTTCTGTCCAGAGGTTCTGTCCAGAGGTTCTGTCCAGAGGTTCTGGTTCAGTTTGTGTCTGTCAGAGCAGGAAGTGATCCAAGGCTGGTTTCACCCGTCTGTCTCCATCAGGACCTCACCTGGACTTCCTGGATGAGGTCAGCGCCCTGCAGCCCGTGGTGGACAAGCTGAAGACGCTGGGGGTCAACAAGGTCATCGCTCTGGGTCACTCCGGCATCGCCGTCGACCGCCTAATCGCCAGGAAGGTCCGCGGCGTTGATGTGGTCATCGGCGGACACACCAACACCTTCCTTTACACTGGTAGGCTGCGTACACCTGTCACTGAGGCCCAGGCAGCCAATCAGAGAGCTGGACTCCTGGCAGCCAATCAGAGAGCTGGACTCCTGGCAGCCAATCAGAGAGCTGGACTCCTGGCAGCCAATCAGAGAGCTGGACTCCTGGCAGCCAATCAGAGAGCTGAACTCCTGTGCTGCCGTTCAAACTCAACCTGAGGTTTTTCTCCAGTTGGTTCTGAGAGAAAAGCGGATCATGGTTCTGGATTGTTAAGCGTCTGGATTCTGCAGAATCCGTCCAGATAAAACATCCAGAAGATGTCTGATTCTTCTTCTCTGGTTTTATTGACTGTTAAAAATTAAAAAGAGGAATAACTTGATTTAGCTCGTTAATTAATTCTTTGTCCTAGGTTCTTGTGTGTCTGCATGTGGAGGGAGAAAAGAGCAATCATACGACGTCAGACTTCAGATATTCAGAGTTTTATCCACAGAAATTCAATGCAATATATAATGTTACAACAAGCATCTCACCTAGATTCTCAAAAGTCCAAGATATTACAAAACAGAAACAAAGAACTGAGTAAAAAGACAAAAGATTAACAGAAGATGCATCCTCCGGGAAACTCTCACTCAGCACAAAGAGATTCCAACTTCTGCTGTAAAACAAATCATTTTATAGACTGCGTATTCTCCTCATTTAAATGTATGCATTAGGAGGTGTGTTCTTTTCCTTTGTGTGGGCTGTCTTAAAGTTAATTTTATTACCTCTGAGACCCAAACCTCCAGCTCTTCCCGTACCAGGCTCCGACCTGATGTACAGCGTGGAACTGGAACGTTATCTCTACCTTAAATGATTCCACAAGAACGTAGTTTGTATTTTTAACCAAGCTTGCACAAAATGTAATGCTAAATAATGACTATAAGTTTGGATCTAAGAAGTTACTAATTCAAAACATGCTTAAAGAAATATAGTTAATTCTAATATAGATAAAATTATTTATAAAAAGTTTTAAGATCCTAGTGAACTTTTGAACCATGCTAGGAATGTGTTAATTGCCTGGCAGACAGACTCTCTGTCTAAAGAGAGTTAAGGAGTCGAGGTCTGTGTTTTCTGTCTACTCCTCCTTTAAGAATTTATCTGCGTTCAGAGAGTGAGCCGTTGTTCTAGTTTCATCTAAATTTATATGAACAGAGTGTACTTTAACTTTCTAAGTTATATTTCATATGTATCAAACTATCCTGTGCAGTATTGTGCTAACTTAAAATTCTATTTCAACATGACCATCACCCATCACTTCTTGTCTATAACAATCATTTCCTGTTTGAAAACAAAAATCCACAAAAATAATGAAACGACGAGACGAAAACAAGAGTAAATGTCAGGTTTAAACCCCTAACATTAGTGAAACATAACCTGGAAATAAAGACAGAACACACCAGTTAAGTTTTTACTCGCGAGGAGAACGGACAGGACAGACGTACATCAGTTAGAACCTCCAACACTCTGAGACGTCTCTGTTCTCAACGCTTTTCTTGTCCTCAGGTTTCCCTCGTTGCCTCTATAGGGGGAAGAGAAACAAATGGCTGCAACTCAGAGATGAACACATTCCAACAGACATAGGAAGAAAAACAAGAACTGGTTGGGGTGCGACCTCTTGACCTGCACTAAATAGTTTAAAGCCATCTGGTTGAGATGTTTACAGCTCTTCCTCTCCTGCTGTTGAACCGACTGTTGGACCCACTTCACATCAGAACCGACTGTTGGACCCACTTCACATCAGAACCGACTGTTGGACCCACTTCACATCAGAACCGACCCAACAGACAAGAAACAACACATGGATAACTTCTATACAATTATTCCAACAGTAAAATAGTGAGACTCCATTTCCTCTGGTGACTTTGTTGCTTTTGTTCTGCATTTGTCCTTTTGAACCAGGAGAAAAACATTTGATCAAACCAACTGGTCTCACATTTTGTTGCAATTATTATATTTTTACTGGAAATTCCACAGAAATATGAGAACAAACTGTTCAAGAAACACAAAACGTCCTGAGATCTGGAAACATTTTGCTACGTTTGTCCACAAAGTTGACGAAACCAGTTAGTGAATGAATGAGTGAATGAGTGAATTGAATGGATGAATGAGTGAATGGAATGAATGAATGATTAACTGAATGGATGAATAAATGAATGAGTGAATGAATGATTGAATGAATGAATGAATGATTGAATGAATGAGTGAATGGAATGATTGAATGAATGAATGGATGAATGAGTAAATTGAATGGATGAATGAGTGAATGAATGAGTGAATGAATGATTGAATGAATGGAATGAATGAATAATTAAATGAATGGAGGAATGAGTGAATGAATGGATGAATAAATGAATGCAGAGTTGGGACCATTATTGTAACTTTCTCAGAACAATCAGCTCCATATTTGTAATTAAGTTTCTCCAAATGAACGTTTCCATCTTTGACCCGGTTTGATCTGCGTCCAGAACCAGAGCAACAGAACCGGGTTTGGACCCACATCTGTCTCTCTGCGGCGAACAAAAGCTCTTTGTTCATCTCGTTAAGCTTCCGGGAACTTCATTTCCATTTCCACAGTCTGAGCATTCATGACACAGAACCGGCCCAGTCCAATAGAACTCGGTTCTGCTCACTCAGGAAAAATCTGTTTTTCATCATAGCTAAAATGTTCTTCAGAACTTTTCCCACATTTGGCCAGTAGAGGGAGCCGGTTCTGTCTGTGAGGCCTCGGTGTTCTGGTCGGACTGGAGAAATTTCCAACATGTGGAAAATCACTCAGCCTTGATTTACGTCACGTTTCCCGACCCACCTGATGTCCCTGCAGATTGAACTTCACACATTTCAGCTCCGTCCAAACTGAACGGGCTGCCGTTTGACCCCGACGCTGACCCCTGTATGCAGGTCGGCCTCCGTCCCTGGAGAGGCCGGAGGGCGATTACCCGATCATGGAGGCGTCGGAAGATGGCCGCCGCGTCCCGGTGGTCCAGGCCTACGCCTTTGGGAAATACCTGGGGTTCCTCAAGGTCACCTTCGACGACGACGGGAACGTGGTGAGGTCGACCGGGAACCCTATCCTGCTGGACAGCAGCATCCAACAAGGTGCGACAGCTACTTCCTGTCTGACCACACAGCTTCCTGTTGGGAAGGAAGACTCGGCCACTGGGAATGATGGGTGCTGATGGGTTACAGACGCGGCGGTTCTGGCCGAGGTGGAGGCCTGGAAGCAGAACCTGACCAGCTTCACGGGCCGGGTCGTGGGGAAGACGCTGGTGTTCCTGAACGCGTCGCAGTCCGCCTGCCGCTTCCAGGAGTGCAACCTGGGGAACCTGATCTGCGACGCCATGGTGGGTCCGGCCCAGAGTCGTTCTGGTTCCGGTTCTGTAGACCTCATGTCTCTGTCTCCCAGGTGGACAACTACACCCGGTCCTTCCAGGACAAGCGGTGGAGCCACGTCAGCGCCTGCATCATAAACGGCGGCGGCATCCGCTCCTCTATCAACGAGCAAACCTACAACGGTAAGCCGGGCCGGTTCCGACCCGTACGGGTTCCATCCGTTTGGACGAGCTGTGGTTCTGCCCCGCAGGCTCTGTGACGCTGGAGGACCTGCTGACGGTTCTGCCATTCGGAGGAACCTTTGACCTGGTGAAGCTGAAAGGGTCAACGCTGCGCGCCGCCTTCGAGCACGGCGCCCGTCGCCACGGCAGCAAGGCGGGGGAGTTCCTGCAGGTCTCAGGTAGGTCTGCGGCAAGACCGGTCCAGAAGGGTCCAGAAGGGTCCAGAAGGGTTCAGAAGGGTTCAGAAGGGTTCAGAAGGGTCCCACTGGGTCCCTCTGGGTCCAGAAGGGTCCCTCTGGGTCCAGAAGGGTCCCTCTGGGTCAAGAAGGGTCCCACTGGGTCCCTCTGGGTCCAGAAGGGTCCCACTGGGTCCCACTGGGTCCAGAAGGGTCCCACTGGGTCCAGAAGGGTCCCACTGGGTCCAGAAGGGTCCCACTGGGTCCAGAAGGGTCCCACTGGGTCCAGAAGGGTCCCACTGAGTCCCTCTGGGTCCAGAAGGGTCCCTCTGGGTCCAGAAGGGTCCCACTGGGTCCCTCTGGGTCCAGAAGGGTCCCACTGGGTCCCTCTGGGTCCAGAAGGGTCCCACTGGGTCCAGAAGGGTCCCACTGGGTCCCTCTGGGTCCGACCGGACAGGGAACGCAGGTAGAAGTTCCCCTGACCGGTCCCTGGCCGCTGCCTGTCTTGCAGGCCTGCATGTGGTTCTGGACGTGTCCCGGCCCGCGGGTCGCCGGGTCCGCAGCCTCAGCATCCTGTGCACCCGGTGTCGGGTTCCACGCTACGACCCGGTCCAGGACGCGGCGCTGTACGCCGTGGTGCTGCCGTCCTACCTGGTGATGGGCGGAGACGGCTTCGACGTCATCAAGAACGGGATTCTGGAGCACAGCATCGGTGAGCCCAACCCACTGGTTCTGACCCGATTCTGTGGGTCTGACCCGGTTCTGACACGATTCTGTTCCTCCAGGCCATCTGGATATCTTGGTGCTGTCCAACTACATGGAGAAGAAGGGATGGGTCTATCCGGCCGTGGAGGGACGCATCACGGTCCTCAGCCGGGCCCCCGCCCTGCAGGCCACCCTGTCCTCACTGGGTTTACTGGTTCTGTTCGTGTTGAGCTGCTGAACCTCCAGCAGAACCGTCAGAACCACAGCAGGACTCTGATCCATGTTAGTCAAACTGAACAGATTTTGTCCTAACATTTCTGTCACTAAAACCCAACGCTGCGCTTCCCGTAGCAGCCACCAGGGGACGCTTTACCAGGAACTGCAGCTTTAATCTCCACTAACCCCGCCCACTAACCCCACTGGACCTGCTGCTGAGCCGCCATTGGCTGCATTGCAGATGTCCAGATGATCTGATTGGTTCCTGAAAGCAGCTGCTGGAGAAGAAGAGTGGAGCTCCTCCTCTTCCTCGTTCCTCTTCCTCTCTTCTCTTCCTCCCTCCTCTTCCTCTCTCCTCTTCCTCCCTCCTCTTCCTCCCTCCTCTACCTCCCTCCTCTTCCTCGTTCCTCTTCCTCCCTCCTCTTCCTCCCTCCTCTTCCTCGCTCCTCTTCCTCCCTCCTCTTCCTCCTCCTCTTCCTCCTTCCTCTTCCTCCCTCCTCTTCCTCCTCAGTTTCTGGATGGATCTGAAGCATCTTTAGTTTTTCTGGCTGACACAATGTTCTGATTGTAACTAAGCAACTGTAACTTTGTTTATTAAATGGACCAATCAGAGAGCAGGATGGAGTCTTCATCTGATTGGATGTTGTTGGTTGGCTGGTCCTACCAGTAGTCATCTTAAGCCCCGCCCACATTCAGATGTTCTGTTTCTGCTGATCACTGGCTGAAATGTTCTGACCCGTTTTGGCCAGGCATCCGGACCGGACCGGACCGGACAGGAAGCAGACAGGAAGTGGAGAGCTGATGGGGAATAAATACGTTTATTAGACAGGAAGTGGAATGTCTGATGGCAGCAGGAGATCCTTGGTGTTGGTTCTGAGGTCCAGCCTCCGACCCGGTCCGACCCGGTCTGGTCACACAATAAAGGGGTCCCTCAGCCCCTGCTGAGGAGGAAACATTTGTGAGGTCAAAGGTCAGCAATGTTTCTTACTGTTTATCTTTAAACCAGTAGAAACCAGACCGGGTCAATTTCAGAACCAGAAGCAAACAGTTCTTTAATTAGAATTGGACCCGTTTGGTTAAAAAGTACAGTATGGATCAGTTCTGGTGCAAGAACACTTGATTCATTTGAACAGTTCTTTTCCACAGTGAACTGGTTCAGTGCTTGATGAAGATAGGAGCGAGGCGGTTCTGGAAGTTCTGCCCGAATGGGTCTCATTACCTGGTTCAGTTCAGGGAAAAGCTCCAGGATGGCGATGTCCAGCAGGACGTAGGTCATCTGAGGACAATCAGAGGACAATCAGATCAAGAGGGGGCGGAGCCTCCGTCCACCTGCAGGGGGCGGAGCCTCCGTCCACCTGCAGGGGGCGGAGCCTCTGTCCACCTGCAGAGGGCGGAGCCTCTCTCTACCTGCAGGGGGCGGAGCCTCTCTCTACCTGCAGGGGACGGAGCCTCTGTCCACCTGCAGAGGGCGGAGCCTCTCTCTACCTGCAGGGGGCGGAGCCTCTCTCTACCTGCAGGGGGCAGAGCCTCTGTCCACCTGCAGGGGGCGGAGCCTCCGTCCACCTGCAGGGGGCGGAGCCTCTCTCTACCTGCAGGGGGCGGAGCCTCTGTCCACCTGCAGTGGGCGGAGCCTCTGTCCACCTGCAGGGGGCGGAGCCTCTCTCTACCTGCAGTGGGCGGAGCCTCTGTCCACCTGCAGGGGGCGGAGCCTCTCTCTACCTGCAGTGGGCGGAGCCTCTGTCCACCTGCAGGGGGCGGAGCCTCTCTCTACCTGCAGTGGGCGGAGCCTCTGTCCACCTGCAGGGGGCGGAGCCTCTCTACCTGCAGTGGGCGGAGCCTCTGTCCACCTGCAGGGGGCGGAGCCTCTCTCTACCTGCTTGTTGAGCAGCGGTTTCTGCAGCGCGTGGAACAGCAGTTCGATCCCGTCTCTCTGGCGTTCTTCCCCAATCAGCTTCACCACGGCGTCTGAAACACAAGAAGAGTGACCCGGTTCACCTCCTGGTTCTGGTTCCGGTCCGGCAGCCCGCTAGAACAGACAGAACACCTGCACCGGGACAGAACCAGCAGAGAGCTCATTATAGGAACCAAAAAGTTCTGGAGAACTGGTCCAGTTTAAGGAGGTGAAGATGCCAAACGAGTTCAACGAGGCAGTCGGTCATTAACGAGGCAGTCGGTCATTAACGAGGCAGTCGGTGATTAACGAGGCAGTTGGTCGTTAACGAGGCAGTCGGTCATTAACGAGGCAGTCGGTCATTAACGAGGCAGTCGGTCATTAACAAGGCAGTCGGTGATTAACGAGGCAGTCGGTCATTAACAAGGCAGTCGGTAGTTAACGAGGCGACGCTGACCTGGCAGGTAGTGCATCATCTGGTCAAACGTCTGCTTGGCCCTCAGCAGTTTCTCCGCCGGACTTCGCTCCTCGTGGTTCTCACAGAAAACGGCATCTGGACCCAGAAACACAAGCAGGAGGTTCTGGTTCAACTGGGTCAGACCCAGCATCCAGAAATGGACCAGAGGTTCTGGTTTCTCGTACCTCTGAGCTGCGTGATGAGCGACACCAGCCGGTGCTCCTGCAGAACCGCCTCCAATTTGGACCGCAGGTACCAGTCCATGTAGGCCTCCAGAGAGTTCTTGAACAGAATCCGGCCCGCCGCTAAGACGTGGTGCAGCCAGTCTGGAATCCGGAACAGAACCCGACCTGCAACAGAACCGGGTCAGTCCAGGTCAGTCCAGAACCGGCAGCAGCACTGGGCTCCAGACAGGATCAGTACCGCCGCCTGCTGGTCGAATGCTGCGTGTGCGCCTTCAGGACTGATCTGAGATCTGCTGCTTCCTGTGGAACCAACAGAACCAGAACCTGCAGAACTGGGTCATTTCAAAGGTTCTCTCTCAGATCTACACCAACAGCTCTGGCCAATAGAACTGCAGGATTTCTTAAGTTTTCTGACATTTTGAGGCTGAAACCAGTCAGGCTTGAGACGGTTCTGGACCCGTCTCGGTTCTGGACCCGTCCCGGTTGTTCCTGTCGCCCCCGGTCACTGGACTCACCAACATACATCAGGTAGTCGTACATCCCGTCCACAGCCACCACCTCCAGGAACCAGTTAGAGTTGTGTTTCCGCTCCGGAGCGTCGGAGAGGTCGGCGTTGTTCCCGAAGAGGTCGCTGAAGAGCTGCAGGACACAACAGAGGTCAGGGTCATGTGACCTGCCCAACATGGCCTGCTGGATTTACTAGACCCCCTGCAGTGCAGCAGGTTGAACTCATCCTGCAGGGCCGGTCCAACGCTGCATGAGGCCCGGGGCAGAACCTGACTGTTGGGGCAGAACCTGACTGTTGGGGCAGAACCTGACTGTTGGGGCAGAACCTGACTGGGGCAGAACCTGACTGGGGCAGAACCTGACTGTGGGGCAGAACCTGACTGTTGGGGCAGAACCTGACTGTTGGGGCAGAACCTGACTGTGGGGCAGAACCTGACTGTTGGGGCAGAACCTGACTGTGGCAGAACCTGACTGTTGGGGCAGAACCTGACTGTGGGGCAGAACCTGACTGTTGGGGCAGAACCTGACTGTTGGGGCAGAACCTGACTGTTGGGGCAGAACCTGACTGTTGGGCAGAACCTGACTGTTGGGCAGAACCTGACTGTTGGGGCAGAACCTGACTGTTGGGCAGAACCTGACTGTTGGGGCAGAACCTGACTGTTGGGGCAGAACCTGACTGGGGCAGAACCTGACTGGGGCAGAACCAGACTGTTGGGGCAGAACCTGATGGGGCAGAAACCTGACTGTTGGGGCAGAACCTGACTGTTGGGGCAGAACTGACTGTTGGGGCAGAACCTGACTGTGGGGCAGAACCTGACTGTGGGGCAGAACCAGACTGGGGCAGAACCTGACTGGGCAGAACCTGACTGTGGGGCAGAACCTGACTGTTGGGGCAGAACCGACTGTGGGGCAGAACCTGACTGTGGGGCAGAACCTGACTGGGGCAGAACCTGACTGTGGGGCAGAACCTGACTGTTGGGGCAGAACCTGACTGTGGGCAGAACCTGACTGTTGGGGCAGAACCTGACTGTTGGGGCAGAACCTGACTGTGGGGCAGAACCTGACTGTGGGGCAGAATGACTGTTGGGGCAGAACCAGACTGTTGGGGCAGAACCTGACTGTGGGGCAGAACCTGACGTTGGGGCAGAACCTGACTGTTGGGGCAGAACTGACTGTTGGGGCAGAACCTGACTGTGGGGCAGAACCTGACTGTTGGGGCAGAACCTGACTGTGGGGCAGAACCTGACTGTTGGGCAGAACCTGACTGTTGGGGCAGAACCTGACTGTTGGGGCAGAACCTGACTGTTGGGCAGAACCAGACTGTTGGGGCAGAACCTGACTGTGGGGCAGAACCTGACTGTTGGGGCAGAACCGACTGTTGGGGCAGAACCTGACTGTGGGGCAGAACCTGACTGTTGGGGCAGACCTGCTGTTGGGGCAGAACCTGACTGTTGGGGCAGAACCTGACTGTGGGGCAGAACCTGACTGTTGGGGCAGAACCTGACTGTTGGGCCCCTCTTGCTGCTAAAACATCAGAACCTCTAGCAGCTTCTGTGGATTTAATCTGGGAGATAAAGTAGATTAACTGGCAACCTGAAAACTATCAGTTCTAATTACAGTTTATTAATTTGTATTTGTCAACAAACGGCTCAACGTCAAAGATTAAAACTCTCAGCGTCAGACGTTGCTATGGTAAGAAAACAATCTAACTATGAATAGTGTTCTTGAACTCTTACAAAGTAAACTTCCAACTCCTTATAATATTACACATAAATGTTAAACAATATTTGAATTGATGTTGAAACCATTCAATCAAATTCAGCAGCATTGGTCATCTCAATCAACATGTTACATTTCTGTTTCTGTGTCACAGTATAATCATGATGGCCCCTGAAGCCCTGGGGCCCCAAGGAGCCGCCGACTTAATGTGGATTCAACACAGTGCAAATAATTGATATTCATTTTAACTGTAGTTTTGATTTGTTGTTTTTAAGACTAGCTGTGTTTAAATATTGTTTCACTGGAGATGTTTTCCTGGAACATAATCAGCCAGTAATATTTTTACTTTTCCTGTCCAATTAACGTCTTTAATGCTAAAACACGGCGGACCCCCCGCCGGGTCAGCAGCTTTACTGGGGGAAACTCTGGATACGTTTCATCACTCCTGTTTTCAGTCAAAGGACGTCACACATAGACATGGTTACCATGGCAACCTGTTCTGACAGGAAGTGAGCTGTTTTTACCTTCTTGTTGTTCTCTGCAGACGGGCTCAGGACGGTGAGTTCTGGTCGGCTCGGTTTGGGTTTGGGCGACTCACAGGAGTTGAAGAAGGACTGGATGAAGGGTTCCAGGTTCTGTCCTTTCTGGGAAACACACAGGGACATCAGAACCAGAACCAGAACCTGCCTAACACAGACAGGAAGTAAAAGGTTCCAGACAGGAAGTAAAGGCTTCCAAGCAGGAAATGGAAACAGGAAGGACTGAAACATTCCTGCAGCAGGAATTTACCTCCTTCATCAGCTTCCCAGGAACAGACTTGAAGATTTTCCCTGGAAAACAAACAAAACAGTGAATGACGGAAAACTTGGATTCAGATCCAGAAAAACTTCCTGTGATCAGAAACCTCAGACCAGAGACCGCTGGGTCTGTGAGCTCAGGAAGGAAATTCCCACCAGAACCGGACCCGTCCAGAGCAGAACCCACCCAGGTGACGTCCGGCAGCATCTTGTCTAGGAACTGGGACTCCAGGCTGAAGGGAGACAGGAAGTCGGCCAGCAGCTGACTGTTGCTGAGCTCGGGGAGGAGCAGCAGCCTCTGCACGCAACGCAACGGGTCAGACCGGAACCACAGGTTCTGGAAGGTTCTGGAGGTCAAACTCACCCGTAAATATTCCTCAAACTCTTCCGCTTTGATTCCAGGAATTCGTAGTTCTTTGGTCCGATGAGCCGCTTCGACGAAGCTGAACGTCCGAGAAGGTTCCTGAAACACCAAGACCTTTAGGGAGGAGGTTCTGGTCCGATTGGGAGGTTCTGCTCTGGTCGGTATTATGGGATGGTTACCATGGAACTCTGTGAGTTGGACTCCAGAACGTAGAACTCCAGGTACCGCCTGCAGACTGTCCAGGATTCGGGTCGTGACCTTCTGAGGAGAAGCAGGAAGTTTATAGTGTAGATGTAGTAATAACTGTGGCCACCGGGGGGAGCGGCTGCTGTCCGAACACTTTCATTTTTAAATGATTTAAATAGTTTATGAACCGTCGACCCGTAACTGCTGATTCCGGTTCTGGTTCGGGCTCACCGTCCCGGCGGTCGTTCCTCTTCACGTCGATGACGAAGACGGGGAACTTTCTCCCGCTTGGCCTCGTCTTCGCCAGAAATCGATGAACGTAGCGAGACGCTCCAGGCCGACAGGAGCCTCTGAGGCGCCGCCAGCGGCTCGGCCGGCCCGTCGTCCTCCAGAACCACCGTGGCCTCCTCCACCTGCAGAGTCGGGTCAGAGCCGGGTCAGAGGCGGGTCAGAGGCGGGTCAGAGGCGGGGGCGTCATGAAACATTGCGCAGTTTCACTGTAAAAGCGACAAAACTGAAGCCTGGCAGCTGCTGCTCCGCCTGCCGCCTCCACAAAAACACCTTCATGGGATCAGAACCCGGAAGTCGCCCGCCCCTGAAGCAGTAATAATAATTAGAATTTAGAATAATAATAATTCTTCATTTTATTGAAAGGTGCTTTCAGGGCACAGAAAGAATAAATGCCAAAGGCTCCCAGTGCAGAGGCTGCAGCAGCAGCAGAGCCTTCAGCCGGATTCAAAGACTCGGAGGTTCTGAGCGGGAATGTGGATCCGGAAGAACCGGATGTGTTCAGGTTTCAGCGCTCAGGTGAGTTTTCACCTCTTGTGGTTTGATTTTGTTTCTGACGCACGTTCACTTCATGAAATTTACACAAACGTTCATTTTTACAAGCCGATTTGTGCGCAAAGCGTCTGGAGAGCTGCAGCGATTCATGAGGTCATTTCCGGGTCTCACCGAGTCGTCGTCCGGGTCGGCGCCGGCCGGCAGCAGGCCGCCCTCCATGGTGGAGCTCCGGAACACGCCTTTGATCCGGTTCCCGATCCGGCTGATACCGAACGCCTCGCCCCGTCGGGACGGATTCCTGGAGGGCAGGACAGTGAGAACTAGGCTGCCGGCACCAGAACCAGGCAGGCACCAGAACCAGGCCGGCACCAGGCTGCTCCAGACCTGTGGATCCTGGCGTTTCGGGTCGGCGACTCGGATCCTCTCAGCAGATGTCTGAAGTACTGAGAGCCAGAAAAAAACAAACTGGGTCAGAACCAGCCCAATGGCGGCACTGGGAAAGTATTCACTCCCAGATGCTTCAGGCTGGGCGTGGATTGTGGAGTGGCCTAGTCAAAGCCCAGACTCGGATCAATCCGGGTCGGCCTGAATCAAACTAAAACATGGGGGTTTGATCAGGTTTGATCCGCTTCACAAAAGCTGATGGAAAGTTGAGGAGATGGAAAACGTGCGGAAAGCCCAGGTTAGACGGCTGCTTGACAGAGGAAGTTTTCCTTCCACACAACCTTCCATCAGCGAGTTGGAACCGGGCCGGGAACCGGGCCTCACCTCGTCACTGTGGCAGAACATGGGCGTGAAAAACTTCCTCCAGCAGGGAGAGAACCAGTTCGTAGGCCTGGAACAGGAAGGGCTTCTTCTGCAGCGCCACCACCTGGATGTAGGGCGCCACCGCCACTGCAACGGAGCACAGGGTCCAATTAGAGGTTCTGGTGGTTCTGACGGGTCTGGGTTCGCTTAAAAACCACCTAATGTGTTTGTTTTCCTTTTATTGACTTTAATATTAATTGAAATATTTTATTTTCTAACTTTGTGTTTATCGTGTTATTGGTTCAGTTTTATGGACGTTTCTTCTTGATTGGATTATTGATTATGTTATGAGGATGATGGGATCATTTCCATCCAATAACTCATCCAACTGATAATCTGTTCTCATCATTATCAATCAATCAATCAATCAAATGTTATTTGAATCACACATTTCAGCAGCATTTCCATCACAAAGTCTTGCAGTTGGAGGTTCTTGTCTTTGCATCCAAAGGTTTCCCTGTTTTCACTCCTGCTGTGATAAGGAACCAGAACCTGCTGAGATTCTGGTTCTGGTTGTGCTCACGCTCCGGATGCCCTCCACCACGGCTGGGTCGAAGCGAATCTTGTCGCCGCTGTCGTCCCGGCAGAAGGTCCGGTAGATGTGCAGAAACCTCTGCATGCAGCTGCCGCAGCTCCGGGTCGCTCAGGTCCGGACTCAGGATCCGCTCGTTGAACTCTTCTGCAACACAGAGGTTCCGACCGATCAATCCGGACCTCGGATCCGGGCCGGGCCGAGCGTTTCGAGCCTTACCCGCAGCCAGGCAGAACTGCAGGACGTGAACGGCTCCTTCCTGGCTTCAGGAAGTTCAGGAAGCGGAACAGCAGATCCTGCTGGCTCCGGATCGCCGTCAGCTGCAGCTGCAGAACCTGCGACACAGAAGGGCTGGTTCTGGAGTGGTTCCGACCCGGTTCTGGCCCAGATCTGGCTCGGTCCACTCACCGATGGTCTCTGCTGCTGCTGCTGTATCGCTCCAGGAAGGGAACCAGCGGCGACGGCGGCTCTGCGGCGGCTTTCTGGCTGCAGAAGAGAACGACCAATCAGAGAGCAGCTGTAGCAGCCTGTGTTCCTACGGCGGAGCTCCACCTACCGAGTGTCGTCCACGAAGAGCAGCACCATGAGGTTCACCGTGTCCTGAAAGACAAACGCACCAATCAGTCGGACGTTTGAAACGTGTTGGCGGCTTCCTTTGTCCGGTGGGCTCGGTTCTGATGATCGATAACAGCAGGCTGCTCACCGGGTCGGCCATGAAGTCCATGGTGGGCAGGAAGACGGATCGGCCATCACTTCCCGCAGCAGCAGAGCCAGAGACCTGGACCAGACGGAAACAGAACCAGAGGTCAGAACCAGACAGAACCACAACTCACCGGTTTTACTGGGCTTGGTTCCGCAACAGGAGGACCGGTCCGACCAACCGGCTTCCTTCTCCTGTCCCATATGACCCATCTGGTTCCTGCAGACCCGACCCGGTCCCGGTACCTGCAGTCAGTGGTTCTGGGCGGCATCAGGTAGGGCAGCAGGGCGTCGGTGAGCGTCCGCAGGTAGCGCAGCTCGGCCCTGCGGCTGCGCAGCGCGGCGTGCAGCCCGGCGCCGTACCCGTCCAGAGCGGCCCCCTGCAGGTCGTCCCACCGCTTCGCTGCACCACAGAACACGGTGGTGAGCCCAACGGGCCTTCCTGGTCCTACAGTTGCTGTAACGGGGAGCCTACCTCTGACTCGAGCCTTGGCGATGATTTCGAGGTGCTTCATGGCGGCTTTCATCACTTTATCAGCAAACACAGCCGGGACATCCACCTGCAAGCACCGGAATCCCCCTCTGACTTTACCCAGAGTTCCCCTCACTCCCAACATGGCCGCCACTCATTTCCCAATATGAGTGGCGAACCAAATTCTGAGCAGGTCTGGTTCTGACCCGGTTACCTTCTGGGCTCTGCGGATCAGCACCGAGGAGAAGAAGCGGAAAGTGGTTCTGACTTCATCCAGGAAGGCATCATCATCCGTGATGTCCCTGCGAGAGGACAGACGTGAGGTAACTGCCCCCTGGTAACTGCCCCCTGGTAACTGCCCCCTGGTAACTGCCCCCTGGTAGCTGCCCCCTGGTAACTGCCCCCTGGTAACTGCCCCCTGGTAACTGCCCCCTGGTAACTGCCCCCAGGTAACTGCCCCCTGGTAACTGCCCCCTGGTAGCTGCCCCCTGGTAACTGCCCCTGCTTGCTGCCAGGTACCCCCGCTGGTCGCTCACCTGTACCAGGGATACAGGAACTTCTCCAGGAGCAACTCGAACACCTGCAGGACAGCGGCACACGTCACTCGTCTGCATGTTTGGGTCAGAACTGAGCTGGACTCACCTCTGCCACAGAACCATCCACCTTGGAGTGAACCCTCAGGTCCAACCAGGGCTGCTGGTTCTCCAGGAGCAGCGCAGGCCTGCAGGACACAAACAGAATCTCAGAACCTCCCAGAACCTCCAGAACCTCCCAGAACCTTCCTCTGGGTTCTCCAGGCTGAGGTCTGAACTCTGACACTCTGGAATATAATCTAGGTCAGGGTCTCCACAGTGGATTGTCTCCACAGTGGGTCGTCCCCACAGTGGGTCCCCACAGTGGATTGTCTCCACAGTGGGTCGTCCCCACAGTGGGTCCCCACAGTGGATTGTCCCCACAGTGGGTCGTCCCCACAGTGGGGACGCCGGCATCTGGCATGTTTTAAGTCTGTCCCTGATTTATCGCACTGGAACATTGACCTGCTGAAAAGGTTGTTGGTTCCAAGGAGAGACTCGTCCAGGGATGGACACTCCTGGTCCTCGAGTCCCGGCCTCCTGCTACTGTCAGGTGTGTTTCTACTTCAACACACCTGAGTTAGATAATGAGGTCATGAGCAGGACTCTGGAACCGGACTGTTCTGAGGAGGCGACTCAGCTGTTGGACCAGGGAGACGTCTAAGAGTTGCAGGACAGCGGCTCTCCAGGACCCCCTCTGGGACCCCCTCTGGGGACCCACTCTGGGGACCCACTCTGGGGACCCTCTGGGGACCCCCTCTGGGGACCCACTCTGGGGACCCACTCTGGGGACCCTGATCCAGGCTTTCAGGAAGCGGGAAAAACTGGACCAAAACTACAACAGACCTGAGGTCAAAGTTCAGCCTCCAACCAGAGATATTTTGGGATGGTTTAGATCAGGTGCAAGGCAGAATGGCCTAGTTAAAGGACAGACCTGAATGCAGCTGAGAATCTGTTTTCAGATCTTTTATGTAGAGCGCACAGAAATAAAAAGTTTAGGGTTGTGAATATTTGAGGTTCTGCAGAACAAACCGGTGGCGCTGGCAACGGGTCGTGCCGCAGATGGCGCAGCTGTGGCCCAGAGGAAACAGTTCCGGATCCTGGTGCTGTTGGACACAGAGAGCATCAGAACCGGCGCCGCGAGGTTCTGGTTCCATGCCGAACTGGACCTACCTTGGCTCTGGGCTTCATGGGGAAGAAGACGTTGGGCAGCAGTGAGTCGGGTCCGAGGGAGAAGTAGAAGGTGACGAACCCGCCAGCAGCGACCAGAACATCAGGAAAACATGGAGGAACCTGGAGACGGAACCAGATCAGGACAGAAGGTGGAACCGAGTCAGAACCAGACCCAGTTATTGGTTCCAGGAAGTTTCAGTAATTGTGAAAGGCAGCTGGACGATCTGGCCCGTTTCTGTTTGACAGCGGGCCGCAGATCGCCCCCGCACCTCAGCTTGGACACCCCAGTTCTACGGTAATGACGTCACCTCTGGACCCAACTCTTCCCCGTTTACCCCGACGGAACTTCCGGACCACAAGCAGAACTATCCAGAACTCTGAGGCTCTGGCCCACATTTAGCCCAGAGGTTCTAAAGCGGCAGAACCGGGTCAGACATGACGGGACCCGCCGCTCTTCCTCATCCTCTTCCTCACCTGTGGAGCAGCACCGTGAGGCCTAACAGAACCAGCAGCAGGCAACAGGACAGCGGGTACTGCCGCCCCGCTTCCCGCAGCCCCGAACCGCTCCGAACCAGAACCTCCATGTAGCGCCTCCAACTCGGCATCCCGCCCGGAACCGCGGGTCTAAGCCGCCATGTTCTGAAAGGGCTCGGTTCGGCTGAAGACTGTCGCGATACGAACTTCCAGCGGAACCGAGGAGTTTCTTGAGGAACTCGAACCCATCCGGTCCAGAAGCAGCCCGTTAACCGTCCCGGTTCCGGTTCCGCTCCCCCAGCAACTTTGACCGGGTGTTGAGTTCTGGTCCGAACCTTTTCTAAAAGTCCAAACCGACTTCCGGAGCAGGACGGCTTTAATCCGGCCGCGGGTTGCCAGGTCCGTCAGAAACCCGGAATTACTGCGTTACTACACCTCCAGTGTTAGGGACTGGGTCTGATCAGGACCAGCGCTCAGCGCCCTTTGACCCCTATGAAGTGTGGGATCAGAGTCACATCAGGGTTCAGAGGTGGACAGAAATCCAAAATGTCTGACATGTCCCTGCTGCTAGAAACCACACAACAAAACAGATTCTTTTCAGTAAAGGTGAGATTTTGTTGGAGAAATTTGTTTTGATATGACTTGTTGAATACAAAAAATTCAATATAACCCCTCATGTTGAGTGAAAACAAAATTATTTTAATACTTCTGAAAACTGATTTTATTCTATTTTTGCGACAGACGGATCCCTCTGTGAACTTTGCCATATTTTCAAGATGGCAAAAAATATACATTAAAATGTTATAATAATCAATTTATTAGTCTATTTGACTAACAGAGACATAATATTTTCCATAAAAACCATCTGTTTTATGCAGATAAAAGTTAGTTTAGTATAAACTAAGTTATTATTTCATAATTATGTATAAAGTTTTCCCTGTGCTGATTTTCTGCAAAAGAAATTCAAAGTAAATGAATTCAAGATTTTGAAACAAACATATTTAAAATTGCACATTTTCATTGTTTTTAGAAAGATTGTCAAAACTGGATATTACACAAGAAATCTATTCTATACTTAAGTTTTAATATGATAAATTACATTGATATATTTGATACATGATTATTTTAATCCTCAGGCAAAGTTTTATTCTGGTGTTTTAGAAATTCTGCTTTCTAAAACATCACCTCCATTTTTAAAGTGAAATAATTTTATTATTATTTATAATCTTTGAAGCAACACGTAAATATCTTAATTTAAGATTTGAAATTTGTCTTTTTTGTTTGTGAGATTTTATG